AAATGTATATATTCTGAAAACGAAAAAAAAAAATGCGTCAAAAGAGCAATAGGCGGCATTTCATGGTTTGTGCTTACAATAAATTAAATACTTGTAATAGTAAATAATATATTAGTTCCATGCGTGTCGAATTACCATTTAATTAAAAATATAAAATTTATAAATAGTTATTATTATTGTAAAAATAAATGGTAAATGTATGTACATTGACCCTGTTACGTGGATCATCTGCTCAAATAGTAAACTCGATCTCAGATGAAGATCTCTAGAGACTCAAACAACAAGAGCCAGTGGAATATGTAATCATCGGGCACACTGATATATACAATCATATTTTATGTTGTTGTTGGCAATAGCTATAAAAAATATATCGTTGAACTTTATTGGAGTGGAAACCGTTTAATTATCGTGTTTCATGGATATTCTTTGTAAAGCTGATAAAGAAACAAAAAGATTGGTGTGTATGGGAAAATTCTTGAGTTTTTGCTTCACGAAGACCTAATTTTCATTATATGGAATTATTTTAATTCGTAATAAAAGTAAATATATTCTGTAGATAGCGTATTCGTTTGTTCCAGTGCGGCTGATTCCTTTATGAGTCGATCGCAATCTGAAGCTAGCTCCACATAAAGCTAGCTCCACATAAGTATATATTTATATGAGGGTCACGGAACGGAAAACTTGTTATCTGAAGCTCAACGAATTCCAGCACGATACGATATAATATTATAAGAAAATATATTAGGAAAATCGATAGGGCTGTCACCAGTGAAACAATTGTACCTGATAAAAAATTTCGACTACCACGGATATATGAAGTAAAATCTCGAAATTTTATAATGTAAATAATGTAATTCTGAATAATTTATGAATTACATTATTTACATTGTAAATAGTTTAATTCAGATTTCTGATTTTTGGTAACAGTAATTAAGAAAAAGATTTATAAGACATCTTTTTCTTAATTACTGTTACCAAAAATTTTCAAGCGTAGTAAGTGAATTCGTTTTTATTTTTTGTGCTCTGATGTTTTGTGTTACGAGATTACATCGCCAATTCTTAACCGATTTTGAGAATTCTTTTGCAATCGAAGTGATAATGCGTAATAAATGTATTTTTAATCCCATTTAATTTTAAGGCAATTGAAGATATCGTTTTCAAAATTTACTAGTTGCGAAGCAAAATCTACTTATATAATAGATGCGGAATTCTGTTTTTAATTTATAGTGTTTCCATTTATCTATAATTGGTATTTAATAATAATAATCTTTATTTTACTACTTACAAGTAATATGAGAATATATAGAATTAAGAGTAAAATTTTAAAAATATAGTCTTAAAACAAATAAATTATGTCCGTGGACAGATGTGTAAAACTATTACCTTTTTAACTACTCACAATAAATACTTCGCATTATTACTCGGTCAGTCACATTACATTATTTACATGTTATTACTTACATATTGCTGTTAATTGAACCGTGGGAAGGCAGGGATATTACGAGGAAAACCCTAGGGGTGATTGCTCTTTACTTTTTATGTTTACAGACCGCTGGAGCTTTACTTTTATTACATCCTGATAGCTAGGTGTAACGTAGGCCTTTTAACCTCCAGACAATGGTTCGTAATTACAACAGACTTCCGGGTTTCCTTATAATGTTAAGATTAATACCGCTAATAAAACGAGGTAAGATGTAATTTTGTTAAGTAGTCAATTAAGAATAAAGACATCAATAGGTGAGCTTCTAAAGTTTATAGCTGTGAGTAGAAACGAGTGGAATTTGCTACGAAAGAGACAGGGTTTCTGTAAAATTACAGTGGCTTCAGTCGTGACAATAACACACACACACTCACACACACACACACACACACACACACACACACACACACACACACACACACACACACGCACACACACACACACACACACACACACACACACACACACACACACACACACACACACACACACACACACACAAATGCAGACAAATTCAGAACATTCTTTTAAGCTACCTTCAAAAGGAAGAGTTTCCCAATAAATCTGTATTTTTTTGTGTTATTATTATTTATTTACACATAAAAATAATAAATACAGTACATTTTAATAAGACACTTTAGTAAGTTTGCGTGAATCGAACCTGCCGTTTTTCTTAACAAAGCAAAAAACGATTGTCAATTAATGTCTATTTCTAGGCACAAGATTGTGCGTTCTAAATTCAAATATTTTTAATCTAACGTCTATAAAACATCTTGTTCATCGGTATTTTATCACGATTATAGTCCCTTTTTTGCAGAGTTAGTTATTTTTGTAGAGCAAAATGCACTTTTTACTAAGGGGTTCAATAAGCTTTACCAAGCACCTGTACCGTAATAATAACATAGATTATGAATATGATAAATCACTAAGTGTAATATACTTTTACATTCACCCATAACAAATAGTGTCAAGCTGAACTACCGTATCATTAAATCAAGAGAGTTAACCAGTATAATTAGTTACAGCGATGACATGGTGTAGCTAGTAAGAAATCTGTCATGTCCGAGTGGGAATTGGATGGATAGAGGTTCGCCTCTTGCAAGTAAGAAATAAAAAATGCATATGTAAATAATGAACTCGAGCCGAAGGTTCCGTGTACCATTGCCATCCTTACACTTACTAATCCTTACACTACAATCTTATGAATATATATATATATATATATATATATATATATATATATATATATATATATATATATATGTATGTATGTATGTATTTAACATTATTTATTTTGAATTATCAATATTGAATGTGTAAAGACTTTTGTATGTCATACGTAAACGGCTAAACGTTTTTGAATGTAATTTGGTTCATAATGAGATGATTAACATATATTTATGATACTTTTCCTAATTAACGCGAGAAAATTTTGATATACAGGCTACTCGCCATGTGAGTATTAGTTTATAACTAACCTGAGACGTTTCATTTCAAGATAATGTAGATATGGCCATATACACTTTAGTACTTGTTAGTAATTTCCGTTTTATATTTAAATGGGTTTTGGAAAAGAATAGTAGTGATATTGACAGACGAAAAACGAAATTATCTTAAAAGCGTTTACATTTTGCTGTACAGAACCCTAATAAATATAAAACACCGACTAGAGGTCCAAGAGATCAATTGCAGTAATCGGACTAGACCATATAGCTTGAATTATGTGCGTCACGCGACGAGTCACGACCACCGACCAATGTACTGATTCACTTGTTCCATTTACGCCTCTATGTTTTTTAGATTATGTTGGGTCAAGTAGAAAGGTTTAACCCATAGACAATATTGAATTTACGATTATTATAATTTGTGGGAATTTGTTATTATTTCATTACCTTGTGTTTACATCATTCTCTTTACCCGTCCTCCCTTTTAGCTAGTCGTATTAAACACAATTTCTGTTTCTATGAATATCGTTTATTTACTCTTTAAATTTTTTTTGCCTATTCATGGAAATTCAGTCGTTCTGGAGGAAATGAGTGGAACCAGTTGCCTACCGATTAAAAATCCCTCAGTATTCCCCCTCTTTGCCACCATGCTGGGCTCATCGGTGGATGAGCCCCAGTATTAGTTAGCTAACTTATGTAACATTCCTCGCAGGGGGTGAAGGGATTGTTAAAAATGCTGACCACTCCAATTACTAACATTATATCCTAACAAGTCGACCTCCCCCCGTGGTCCCCTCTGGAAACCATCGTGCTGAATTCCATGTGTATTCATCACGACTATCACTAACTGACCTGCCTTTTCATTCTCATGTAACATCCCTGACTGGTGTTGCGCCAACGTATACCGTTACTATTTTATGCGGGGTTACTATTTTATTATCATCCATTAAAAAAATACTCCTCGCATTTCGATCTGAGAAATAAAGCGGGAGCGCAAGAAATCAAACGAGAAGTACATTTATCTCTTTGAAATTTGTAATGTATCTAGTTAAATTTATTGAATTTATTACAAGTACAAATTAGTTAATAGTAATTTGTATAAGGCCCTGTTTTTTTATGCAGAAAAATCTTAATTTTTTATACTATTTGAATATATTATATTAAGTTATAATCTATTAGTATCCGTATATGTTGAGCATGTAAAATGTGACATGACTACACATTGTTACTCGTATATTGCACGCATCATTTCACACAACATCCCTTTTTTCAGGCACATTTCTCTCTGATCACATTATGTGAAATGGATATTTGTTAAGGAAAATAAGACTATTTGCAATACAGAGAGCAGTGAAGATTATCCAGTATTTTTTAAGGTGTTATTTAATATTCTAATATTATAAATACCAAAGTCTATCTATTTATTAGACACTTTACTATTAAATTGTTGTACTGATTGGGAAGTTGATTGATTTTTTTATAGTAATTATGTATTGAACAGAAAAACAAATGCGTTATATTATATATATATATATATATATATATATATATATATATATATATATATATATATATATATATATATATATATATATATATATATCTTCATGTTAAGAGCTTGAAGTAAGAATCTATGTTTTATTATATTTTGAAAATACATACAGAAACAAGAGAAAGAGATTTCCACTCGAGTGCAGTAAATTCTTCTAAAATGACAAAAATATCAAAAAAACAGTCAACTGTAGATATGTCGGTATTTAAACAATGTTGTTTTAATGGGATGCCGAACTATCTAACACGTCTTCATAACAGCTGTTCTATTAATCTCTCTAACATTAACTGGTAACTGTAACATATGACGTCAAATCCGATAAGTGCATTTAAACTACACGCGAACCAAGCCAAGGGACGGAAGTGGTTGATTACGGTTTATTTTTAGTGTCTGGTCCCTACCCTCGTATAACTGTAGTTTTAGATGAGCGCTGCTAACAGTGAAGTGTTAAACAGCATTATAATTCAATTTAAAACATATAATACTTTTTAAGTGATTTCAGAAAGATGGTTTGCGATTTCTAATTTTTATTTTCATAATAGTTTGAATTAACTTATTTGCTTTCTTTCTATTACCTTTTGACTTTCCGTTCAAATATTGCTATCTAATTTTGGACTACTTGCTTTATATATCTATCTGTACTAGTTATCGAAAAAGGGAAGATCATCTTAAACTTGGGTATAAGGATAAATTTTAATTAAATTTATGTTGTAGTCTTTTAAGTTTTTCTGCTTTTTATTTGTGTGTTATGTTACGTGATATACTCTTATTGCTCTTCCCTAGGTAAGTCTTTAGTTAATGTTATTCTGATCGATCAAGGTGATTTGATTGATAAAAGTCAATCAATTTGCATATTGCTACCCTTTTTACTTTCTAGCTGAATCTTTTATACAATTCAATTTGTGCACTGAACACCCACACTAAATACGTGAATGGCATTACTTTGAATAAAATACTTACAGCATCCAATTTAAATCATGTTTAAATATTCAACGTTGCTACTGACTTTTAAGATTTTTATATACTCGTAGCTTTACGGCTGCCTTGGCGATGTCAAGTCGAACAATCTGTTAAGGGTCAAGCTCGTAGATCCTTTTTCCGAAGCAATACAACAATTTCTTATATATTTGTACGAGATCGTTATTATTATTCCACAAAAAAAACGACTTCACTGGTAGCAAAACTTGCCGGAAAAAACTTTCGCTTTTACTTCTACTATAATTACAAGAATGCCGATGGAAAACCTGAGCTTACAAGAAACCAGAGAGGAATTCACCAAAAGGATGCAGGAGTTCGAGGGACGACTACAGAAGGCAACCCTTTCGAGCCCCGGAGCAGCGAACATCGCTTCTGACTTCGCTGTCTTTAAACAGATGACACTGGAGAGTCTGCAATCTTTGCAACACCAAGTTGACTTGCTGGCAAAGGAAGTTGATTTGCAGGAAATGCGTAGCCGACGGAAAATTTTGTTGCTTCATGGCGTCTCAGAGAGTGATCAAGAGGACGTCGTCTCGGTGGTATGTGGTGTTGTTGGTGATCAAATGAAATTGGAGTTTTCAACGGAACATATTAGCCGGTGTCACAGGATGGGACGTATAACAACTAGTAAGAAAGCACGTCCACTTTTGGTGAAATTTCGTGATATCAATATTCGCGACAGGATCTGGTCCAATAAAACAAAATTGAAAGGCACCAATATTTCCTTATCTGAGTTTTTGACAAAAACTAGGCATGATACATTTATAGCGGCCAGACAACGCTTTGGTGTCAGAAAGTGTTGGACGCGTGATGGGTTCATTCACGTCCTCGGATCCGACGGAGTGCGGCACCGTATCAGTAGCATGGCTGAACTGGGTAGGATTGTGGTACCAGAACCCCAAAAACCAGTTCCAGTTGCGGCAAAAACAGATATCGGCGTCAGCAGAACGAAACGAGTTCAAACAACCAGGAAATAAGTGTTAATAATAGATATTTCATTTTTGCGGGTCGGTGAGTGAGTTTGTAGTCCTTACATTAATAGCATTACCCATTTTATTTTATTTATATCAATCAAATAATCAGTAATCATATAATAATCAGTAATCATATACTTTTACCCACTATTTACTATTAATAATTAAGCAGTGATGGCACAAACTTATAAAAAAAAGGGGGTACCCCGTGATTTAAATTTTTAAACAAGGTAAGTTGATTATCTTATTCTACCTTACATGTTCTGAATCTATAAATGTCAATTGTCAGCTATCAGATAATATCTTATTATTTTAGATATATAACTTTACAATTTATGCACAGATAATGTGAAACTCGTAAAAAATTGTATAGTCTGTCTTTAAATTTTGAATAGATAAATCGCTTATTTACATTTACTTATTTATGCTCATTATTATACCGGCACAGACGATATCGACATTGATTGACAAGCTTAGAAGGAAATGCCGAGTACTATATATATGTTTATGTATGTGTGTATATGTGTATGTATATGTGTGTATGTGTATGTATGTGTGTATGTATGTATATATATATATATATATATATATATATATGTATATATATTTTAGTTTTTAATTATTAACTATGTAATAGTATGAAGAATGCCATGTTAACACGGCCAACTGACCATTCTCACGCTCCTAGATTTTAGCAATGCGTTCAATACCGTCGACTTTGATATCCTACTAGAACTGTTACGCTCTCTTAACGTATCTCCGCCTGTAGTTGAATGGATTCGTGACTACTTGTTTGGACGCCGGCAGCGAGTACGAATAGGTGATACATATTCATCTTGGTGCGATACGTTTGCTGGCGTTCCGCAAGGTGGCGTCTTGTCTCCTCTCCTTTTTTCAGTTCTTATTGACTCAATATCTGACCAACTAACTTCTCTCTACCATCTATATGCAGACGATTTACAAATTTATACTCAGGCCTCTATAGATAATTTAAAGGATGCTATCGCTTTAACAAACAAGGATCTTAAACATATAAGTGATTGGAGTAAGGCTTTTGGACTGAAAATAAATCCTTCCAAGTCTCAGGCAGCTCTGGTAGGTAGTTCTAAGTTAATACAAAAGGTCGATCATTCAACACTGGCACCTATAAATTTTGGTAATGTGGCTATCCCCTTCAGTGCATCAGTGAAAGATCTAGGTATAATTATAGATAGTTCCCTTACTTGGCGGCCACAAATAGAATCTGTCAGGAGGAAAGTTTTCGGATCAGTATGCTCACTTCGTAGACTGCGTAATTTCCTTCCTACTGCTACCAAAATTGCGCTATCCCAATCTCTTTTACTTCCAATTCTTGATTATGCCGATACTTGTTATCTGGATCTTACGGAAGACCAGCTTAACAAACTTGAGCGTCTTCAAAATGTTTTTATCAGGTTTATTTTCGGTCTTAGAAAATATGATCACATTTCCGAGTTTCGCACTAAGCTCAAGTGGCTTCCTATTCGTTTTCGCCGGAATACTCATATTCTTTCACTGCTCCACAATGCCCTTTTCAACTCTTCTTCCCCTCACTATCTGAAGGAGCGGTTTGAATTCTTGCATACCGTCAATTCTTTTAATCTTAGGTCTTCTGAGGGCCTTCAGCTGAAGATTCCGGTACATTTCTCTAATTTTTATGACAAATCATTTACGGTGCAAGCTGTACGGCTTTGGAATGCTTTACCAGTTTCCTTACGAAATATAAAATGTACGGCTGGTTTTAAAACAAAACTGAAGAACTATTATTTGAGCATGTTGTCATCTTCTTAATGTGTTTATATGTCTGGTTAGCATACTTATTACTTGCATACTTTTCGTGAACAGTATTTATATATTTTTATGTATTTGTGTAGGCGTTTATGTCCATATATGTATATGTATTTGTATATGTATAATATATATATATATATATGTATATGTGTGTGTAGGTGTATGTATATAAATATAATAATGAGTAGGGATAATATTTATATTATTATATGTATCACATCTCCCATATTTAGAACTAACAAAATTTTTCATCGTGCCTCCCACCAAACTGTTTATAATTACTCCTCTCCATCCAAAGGTTGCCTGGAAGAGATCGCTCTTAGCGATAAGGTCGCCCATTGTTTTCTCATTGTGATTATTTCTTGTAATTATTTATATTTATAATAAGTTTACTATTGTAATCTTTTGGAGGAAACAATAAAGAGTATCTATCTATCTATTTTGATAAAATTTTTATGGGACCAATCTCAAAGCATATAGTTTCAAATAAAAAAGAACGTTCCAATTCAGTTTATTTATAAATGAAGCTCTTAAGATAACACATAAAAAGAAAGTACAATCGAATTGAGAACCTCTTCCTTTTTTAAGTCGGTTGAAAATAGATTATATACTTCTTATTTTAGCAAACACCTTCTTATATATTTTATAATGGATATCATAGAAAACTATACTGCCATGCTAATGTTCACTAGTAGAAACCAAACTTTATTTTCGTAACACGTAACGAAAAACGGTAACAAATGGCTAAAATTAATATGGCAGATATTAATTTATTTTTCCTTATAATATCCACGTTATCGGGTCAAAGGAAATTTGGTTTTAAACAAACATAAACGTAATACCCTTGTTGGCAATCGAAACACCGCGTGCCGATGGCAGAACAAGAAACAACGGCGACCCTGTTGTCGTATCCCTGAGTTTGGCTAATAATCTCGAAATATCTAAATTACAGAAATAATGACTCGTAGTGCTCCTTCTACGTATTTGTTTACTACTATACGTTTGTTTATAATAATTACGTCCCGTGTGAAATTGGTGTTCCTTGTCCGTGAAATGAACGCTTGTGCTTATCGTAGTGATTGTGAAATATAAAATTACAATTGAGTTAAGAACTAAATTATCTAATTCAGTGTTTTAATCAGAATAAGAATTGTTATTTTTAATAAATAAATTATTTCTTATAAACTTGTCTCTTGTATGTAATACCCTGTAGTTGAGTGACACCAACATTTACACCAATAGTAAATGTAGAAATAATTGACGATACAAGTTTGTCCAACATGCCTAGCCAACACGTGTAGGCGGACTCGAGTAAACAACCGATATAAATAAACGAAGTGTAGTAACTAATATGATCAAATAGTCCAATGTCTTGTCCAATCGATCGTATCCAATTTCTACTGGGTGAAGCAATACGGACGCGTTTTGGTTTGAAAGACAAAGTAAGCACTCCGGTTGATCTCACAAGAGACATAACAAGTTACTCCTAAACAGTGGGAATCCACGAGTAGTGACATGGATTATACACTGTATATATAGTGATTTGAGACCTACGCAGACGATGAGCATTTTGTTCCAAGACAAAATTTCCCATTAATTAAACCATGCACAATGTGTGTGTTTCAGCATGTATTTCGTTTTATTACATTCTGATTAAAATATACCTATTTTGAAGATCATCTCTCGTTAGAGATGTTTCTCCTTTGTGCAGATCATTGCTGTTGATTCTTACCACTTTCCAATACGTGAGGATTGATCACCATTTGCAATAGTATTCTAAGTTCTTTAAACATCATATTATAAGGTATTTATTATCTTCCTCGTCACTTATGTTTTATTGGTGTGTTCGGTAAAACATTTGCTGGTATATAAACACTGCACAACCTTCTTGTATGTACATTCAGAATCTACGGAACCATCAAATCAATAAAACTTTAGGTATCCTGCACGAGTTGTTTGTGGCATGAGGTATAAGATCAACGCGATTTTATAACATTTACTATTTCTTCTTTATTTTTCTATAGTAACACTAAAGCTAAAGGCTTAAGTAGTTATAATAAATAAATTTCGCAAAATAATATCATAATCTTTTCAGGCATTATTTATTAACGTGTGCATTGCGGTCATATATAATATTTGGTAAAAGAAATTCAAACAAGAGTTAACCAATTTGAATAAAAGACTCTTGCTATGAGGGTCTATTAGGGACCGTTTATCGCATTACTTGCTCTTATGAAATGCTACTTTTTGGATTTTTTTTAATTGTTTATATTTAGAAGCACTCAACGCCATTGTACAAGTATACGAAAACCGTCAACAAGTCTTATCGGGCGATAATTGAAATTGCATATAAATGTCGTCACCACTAATGCGTGTATGAAATTAGCAACTAAAACCACTATACACTCTACACTCGAACCAAAGATGTCTCGTTCTGCCGGAATCGCGACGTGAATAACTATGTGCTGTAGATAAATCGATTTTCTCCGTGCGTTTGTTTTGTTTGACTTGGTCTTTAGAAAATTCTTGTAGTTAGTGTCGATGTTAATTGTTTGAGCAGTTAGTAAATTACTTTACTGACGTCTGTGTACACATGCCATGCTTAAAGTGATCTGAATTGGTCACAAGTCACTCCCAAAATATTTGATTTAATTGAGGAAGTAAATTAACAGTACAAGATTACGATATTTATTTAATTGTCGATTAAACAAATTCTCATAAACATGCGATCAATGACCCAATTGATATAGACATTTTATGAGTTTACATTGACTGATGCTACTTTGTGTGATTCTCTAGGTATGAGTTTATTGATATTGAAACTTACACGAGATGGCCAGAAGTATCAAACTCGTTATGCAGGATAAACTCAACAAATGCTGACAAGCCGATTGTTCTTGTTTCTTGGTTTGGTTCCAACTGCTTTCAGTTTGGCAAGTGACTAAGCTTGTTACTACAAAAGGATTGTTCATTACATTCGTTGACATGAATGCGGGAATATGGTAATCCTAAAATATAAATACTTATATTTCTGAAATATATTTATGATAAGTATCAGGAAGTGAACCTCGTGGATTCGAAAAGAGACGACTGCGAGAGTTATTAATCTAAATGTGGCGCATATAGTTACTTTGTGAATTAATTTTAATAACCTACGTACAATATCTCTGGTAATAAACGCTGTTAAAAATCGTATTAATCTGAACGACGTATTTGCTATATTTAAAAAGATGGTAAACTCGTTTTCTGCCACATTAGGTCTTAATATATGGCGAATATGAATATGGACCGTGGATAAAATACCTCTGGTAATTAATTTTGTGAGGTATCTCTGATACTAGAAAATAACACCTTAATTTATAGCACGTGACTGGTACTATCAGAGAGAACAAAATATATTTTGTGATGTTTAGTTAAGATGTTGTTTTGATTTAGAGGCGATGATTAATATTTTACATTAGGTGTGTAGTCAACTCGTTTGTTATCCTGTGTAGAATTTATTAGAAAGAGACTGACGAAAATAATTGGTGTAAACTTCGTATTGCAAGAATTTAAATGTTCTTCATGGCCTTTTCTTCACAGTAGATATAGAAGATTATATTATTATCTACACTTACAAAGAGATAGCAGTATTTAACTAGAAAATTTAACAACTGAGCCCTCAGTTACCAGTTTTATTGCTCTTGTCAATTTATGGCCGTCTTTCGACGAATTTCACTTTACTGCCTAATTTTCAAAGTGTCCAAACTTTAGATAATAGATCAGTTCTAGTTTAATGATCTTTTGTCCTCTAAGGGTATAAAATTGAATTCAGTTGTCCCGAAACTCTAGCATAATATGCCCGATATTTTCCGGATACACTTAATAGAGTGTCTAAATTACTTACGCAAGAAACTTACCATCTATTGTATACAACAATATAGATTTTTAAGAGACTTCAAAACGAAGAAGTGTGTATGTAATTCGCTTATATTTTTTGTGTATTATGCGATTTTATCGTGGACTCTTATTAACGGATTTTAATATTGTTTTAAATTACAGTATACAGAAAAATGACACCATGATTCAGTAGAATGGCAGCTCATGACGGATACCATAGGCGTCGCAGTAAACTTTGTGATGTCCATAGTGCTATTCATGTCTGTAGTTGACACCCGCTTTTCATCACCTAGCCCACCGGCCGATAGCTTGCTTATCATTCTAAATTTAATACATTAAATATCTTTTTATTTGAGAAGCAAAAACTGCTTATTACGAAGCAAAGTCTACTTGTAGACACGATTTTGTATTCAAAATTCAAATATAGTTTATTTAATGTGTCTATGAAATAAATATCTCGTTGTTTATCATACAGTCAAGTAATTTAAAATCAGACGCATGATAGGGTCCAGACTGGTAGCAGTATGGTGGGCTGGGTGGTTGAGCTCCTTAAAATATGGTTAAGCGCAATAATGGCTAGCTCATCCGTCATACCTACTCCTGAAAGTGTGTTGTTTATGTGTACTGGTCTGACTGTGGTTATAACTGTTTATGAAATTTCATTTTGACATAATATATATGAAGAACATTGAATGCTACAAATTACAAATGTAAAATTGTCTTGTACATAAGTATGTATATTGAAAACAGTAAATATTGAGTTTCTTGCGGGTTCTCAGTAGATAATATTCCGAACCCAGCAGTAAAATCATAAAAATGATGATTTAAAATAGTCGCTTTTTTTGTTTAGCGGAGAAAAATGTACTTGTAGTATGTTAGAAATGAATATTATATCATATTCACGGGACAAGAATTTGGGGTTACGCACGAAAGGTTACCGTAATAAGTTCACAAGGAAAGCCTATTTATTGTAATGCCAGTTGAATTCCGTAGCATCGCAGCGTCTTGTCGTTATGTAAGGAAGGCCAAGGTCAAATCCATTCCCTTTTTATGACGATATTGCAAATATTTCATTCTTCCTTGATGAAATTCTCTCTTGCACGGTTGGAGGATTTTATGCGTTAGCTGCCAATAATCCTTGTGTCCTCAGGTAAAAATAAATCCTACTGTAGACAAAAAAAGAATCATAAATTCATTCCTATTTTTTTGTCCTGCTTCAATCCAGTGTGTTTCATCCTTATATTCACAAGTAAAGAAGTAATAAATACATGTATAATTGCGAAGTTACCGCTGTTTCTGCAAGTTGTATATTTTTTTTTCATATTGTGAACTAATTGTATTTCGCCCCAGGGGTTTGTCAACATAAATTAGGATAAAAATAATAATTTGTGTTAAGAAATTGTAATAATGTCTTTAATTTTCACATTTATTCATTCATTTCACATTATAAGTAGAATAACAATATTTAGTTAGATTTTTACTACTAAACCATTAAAATGATTTGCCGTTGTATTCCAAGTATCAATATTCTAGTCAAACTCAAATTTCATTGGCGGTTCCGAGTCAATTTGCATGTGTTATTCTGTAAATAAGTAAGATTGAATTTAATTAACTGTAATCGATACTTCGACTTAATAATATAGTTATCAAAACTCATTTCACTTCGCTTGTCATTGCACAAAGCTTACTGAATATGAAAATTAAATGAAGTGAAAATTTAGGTGAAGTGAAAGTGAAAATGGAGTATGTTGCGAAACGTATATGAAATTTCACAGACTAGCATTACAGGTCTCACATAGGCACGTTTTCGCGACCCATCCCATCAGCATATTCCATTCGCAGCTTGTCGCACGATGAAGAAGAATTGGTGACGAAATGTGACATTTTATAACTAAAATAACTTGATATGAATCCTTTGTTCATGAGACGACACTTATTAGAATCTAAACTCCTAACTCCGCGTATATATTAAACAGAGTATTTAATTTTAGGAAGCTACAGAAACTCTTTTGTCGCTTGCTAAATTTATACACTGTTAGAAGAAAAATTTACGCACAAATTTAATAAAGTCGAAAGCTGCTTAGTTATTTACTAGGGGATGATTCAAGGACGTAGCATTCACCTTTCGTGAAAGCAATGTTGAATATTTGTGATAGACACTGTCTTTTTCGTAAGTATACATTTTTTAGTGTAATTCTGCAGTCGAAATTTGTGAAAGTGTGTTTGTGTTCCTGATGTATGATCTTCTGCTTTACCCGTGTTGACTGTTTATTCACGTGGTCAATTATAATATCCATTAACATATACCTTATTAAACTAAATGAACCAATATTGCCTTCGATCGTTAGTACTGGTATTTAATCTATAGCTTAAAGTCAAATGAAATTTGCATTGTAAATAATTGTAATTAACCGACGTTCCGGGACAATTGCGCAGAATGAAATATTAATCAACGATCCTGTAACTAGAACTAGGTATTCATTAACGTATCATTTGATCCCTTGGGCGCTGGCGGATGGATGATTATATCAACATCAACAGCATCATTGTTTAATTAAGCTTTCATTAAATGTAGTTTTTTATTGATTTGCGACAGTGTTGTCTTATAGTAAAATTGTAAGGCTACGATATAGTCCAGGATTCGTGAGAACCATCAGTAGATAAAAGTTTCGGATTAGCACGGGCAAGGTACCCACTATTTGAACAAATAATTCCAACTGATAAGGCTAAATTATTTTTTGTACTACGAAGGTGGTAAGTAAGCATATGGCCCGTTTGATGGTAAACGGTTACTATAGCCTATTGACGCCTGCAACACTAGGGGTGTCTCGTGCGTGTTGCTGACATTCGATATTGTCCATAAAATGAATTCCTATGATATAATTTAGTGATACTTTATGATGTTTTCGAGAAAAAGTCTTACTTTGTCTAATACAAAGTAGTGCGTAATCTTAGTAATATAACAAAAACATAAGTAGAAAATATCTGTACATGGGATATATATATATATATATATATATATATATATATATATATATATATATATATATATATATATATATATGTGAAGGGGGCTTAATAAGAGCAATGGATGCCAAAATAATCATTTTAAGTCTCAACAAACAGATGCTCTGCAAAAACTATAGCACCAAATTGGATGCGGTTTCAGTAGTTATATATTTTGTGGGCAAAAAAAAACTATATGGCAATCGCTATTGGACAAATCATTAACAATTATCGATAATTTAATCATATTAATGATCCGATGAAAGCGGCGTCGTTCGATATTATCTTATCGGTCGCGGTACTTTCATATTGGTAACGTGCTAAATTTAATTGTAAAATATTATAATCAATATTTTAGCGATCGGTCCGATTACAAATTTCTCGTTAAATTAATGTTTTGCAGATATTTACTATACACCTATTTTCCTAGCGGTAGACTCAATTGTTTCAATTATTTTTGCTTCCATTTAGTTTGTATTCTGACACAGATAACATAGGAGTTGTTTCGGTGATATAGATATAGTAAAATTTAGAGATAGGTTTTCAAATTATAAAATATTATGTTACGTGGATTGGAAATATGCACACGAGTTAAGTTAAAAATACTGAAACAGTATTCGGCGGTATACCATCAGGCAGATCGTAAGTTACTTTTGCTACACTAATCACATAAAAAGGCATACTATTTTTCATTAATAATATCAAGAAAATAATATATTTTCCGTCTATTCTGCAATATCAATGGTTATTGATAAGGTTAAAGATAGTCAGAAACTATTTTCGGCAAATATGAGTTGATGTTTATAGCTCAGCGCTAAGGTAACAATTATTGCTAAGTACAACTCTCATATGACAAATAAGAACAATCTCATCTGATTATATTTATCATATTATATGTACTTATGGGACGAAGCATATCGTTTTCCTTGCTAGAATTAATGATGGCATCTCTTTTAAACAATACGGTATAAAAGTCGTTTGGTTTTTCCCATAAGTACAAAATACTATTTATGAAGCTTTAATTCCGTTCATTTTACTATTTTTTATCGGAATTTACAATAGCGGCTGTTAATATGGCATTTTTAATTCCTATGGATTAGTACTTTCGTTTTTCAACCGATCTCAAAAAGAAGGTTTTCAATTCGGTTTTTTTTATGTTTATTACTTTATAACATCATCAGTTGTAAACTGATTTGGAAAATTCTTTTTTTATCTGAAAGGATATACTTACTTATATTGATTTCATAGACATTTTATCAAAATTGGTTCAGTAGTTAATTTTGAAATTAAAATAACTAGTTTTGTCAAAATTGAAATATTTTTTTGTTCGGGAACACAATCTTTAATTATATTCTATCTCCGTTTAGCTAAAGACGATCGATAAGCATGAATTTTTAAAGACGTTAACAGGCTTCGTCCTTCTTTGTCATATATGAGGTTATGTGGGATACATAATCTCATAAATGGGCTTGTCTGTCTGCCTTTTTTATGAAATTTTATCAAAATCGTTTCATTAGTATAATTTTGAAATCAAAGTAACATACAGGAAAAATCTATCCAAAACGCGTAATTTAAATATAAAAAATAAAGTGTTTATGGCGTCATTATGATGCAGTGGTTTATCGGAATTAAACATTTTAGCTTATTTATATTATTTTAGTTTAAAACCTACTATAAAATTCAACTTATACTCGTATTAAACATATTAATCTCAATACATACATATGTAGGTACTATGCCTTTGTATCCTCATCATGTCTTAGTAAGCCAAGTCTTAGTGTAATAATGTTCAATTTACAATTTCAAAATGGAAAAACTTCTCAATATTTTTTTATATTTTACGTGATATTTTCATAAGTTTTAACGAAAATAAAAAAAAATATAAATCTTGTCCATTTTGAAATCGATTATTTTTTTTTTATTTCAAACTACTTTTTTGCCCGCTACTTCGTACGTGTGGATTTCAGAATTAGGAAACCAATGAAATATACTGTTTCTAGTTGGGGTATCAAGATGAAACATACATCAGTTTTTAAGTTAAACTTTCAAGAACACAACTGTGAAAACATCATCCAATTAGGTGCAGTATTTTTTGCGTGATTCCGGAACAGGTATACATATAGCCGGATAAAATCTCTAAAAAATATTGTTTTGGCATCTGTTGGTCTTATAAAGGCCCCCATTTTAATTTTTCTTAAATATCTCTCATGAATGGGCATCGTTAAGTTACAATTAAATTAGTAACATTGTGCTCGTTAAATAAATATGCAACAAAAACTTATAATATTATATAGGCACAATAATTTAAGTATATGGTTCCCGAATATCTGTATTTCTAAATATAACTTTTCTATTTTGAATTTCTAATAAGTTTTAGACAGGAATATTAAAAAATATAAAATAAAGAAAACTTCTGATTGAAAAGCTTTCTTGAATGACGCTTAATTCGATTTTGCATATCTTACTCTTAAAGTTTTATTCAGATGTCCGATACTTTAGTAGGTACTTAGTTGTGCTTGTTAATATTCATCCATACCACCCTTACCTAGGAAGACTTTGTACGAAGTCCTCTCGAAAATTTGTATGGAATCAATATGGGAGTTACCCTATCGTTTGCGAAACGAATTATTACTTCTTCGTGCAATATTGTTACAAAAATTCAAACGAATTAAGAATGTAACTAATATGATCACAAAAAAAAAAAACTGACGAATTAAGAACCTTCTTTTCGCAGAGGGTTTAAAATTCTTTTTAAATATCGTTGATTTAAAGCGTCAAAAGTCGTTCACGTGAATTGTTCACAAATTTTCATCTTATTGTTTCCGCTAGAGAAAGTTTGTTTTGTTTTCACTGGAATGTGACTTCGCTTCTTGTATTTAATTAAAGTTTATAAAGGAACATTTGGATTAATACCCTACATTGTTTACATTACAGAATCTATTTGTAATAATTCTAATTTAGGTTAACTGTGCATGTAATAATGTCATGCAGGCCATCTATCTGCCTTTACGGCAGTTTCTCTAAAAGGTAGATAGAGGTAAAGAATGTCAAAAACCTCCAACCTTACCTATATATTTCATATCTATAGTATATCGCCTCATTATACCAGTATATAGTGTTTAGTTTCCTATAATAGAAGGTATTCCAATTTATGAACCAATAACGTCAATCACACACCGTTCTCAGCCACATAAAAAAGGAAACTGTTGACACAAGTAGGTTTATTGTTCTAGAATATAAGTTCTTTGTTTTGCCATACAGACTACCGGTCCTGGTTGGAGTACAAAAACCTTTTAAAGAAATGTAAAAAAGGAAACTATTTTAAAATGAAAATTTTGTATAATAGAAGTACAAAAAAGAATATCCGTTAATAATTTAATCAGTTACGATTTATCATCTTTGAATGATATCGATCACGTAACACACGTGAATGACTGATATGTATCTAATCATATCTAATATATTTTTATTGCTTGTTCCAGATGTAGGTTACGACTACGTAGTGGATCAGCAACCCATAGGCAAGATCCTCTTTCGACAGTTTTGTGAGAGGACTCGGCCTGATTACCATAAGTACAACAACTTTTTAGATGTGGTTCGTATAGCACATATATTGATAGACTTTGTATGATAGACAATCATTTACAATTTACATAGATAATTTTAATGGTTGTATTTTGGTTTCAAAGTATATTTGGCAATTAAATTGTAGGATATGAAGACAAAACACTTTGTTCATTATAGAATATCCATTTTTCATCAGATGTTATATATCATTAGCTTGTTTGCCATTACAAATTGTATAAAAACTTTAAATAAGTTGATACCAGTTTATTTATTGTCTGCCGTAAAACATTCTGTCAGAAGGATAAGAAGCTAGTGAAAATTCGTGTCACAGTAAACATCAGCAGTCAGGGCAGGTGGCACAGGTGGAATGTTATATTTTATGCTATTCATGGTGTTTTTCATGTTGATAGACGGCGTTTATTACTTTCTGAAAGGTGTGTTGACTGAATTCCTATTAGTGATAGTGTCTCTCTACGTACAAATTGCTCGATGAAATGTTGATAAGTTGAGTATTATGTATGTACATAACAATAGCAACAGTTGATAAAATCCATCTCATAGTCAAAGCAATAGAGAGTTACTACAAGTATAGTTAGTAAATCACTATTTAAATATGAAATCGGTCAATTGTGAATTTCTCAGACCAAGAATATATTTCCCCAGGAACAACTACAATAGTTACCATGGGACAGCGCATGGAGGTGAACCTGACTATCAATTACTAAACTATCCCATCCCCTAAAAGTATTATTTGTAATTTTATATAATATAATCAGTAACATATATTTGATTTACACATGACTACTGTGCATAGGCGGAGCGGTACGAGGTCGAGGTGGACGAGTCTAGAGTAGCACTCGCCGCTGAGGTGTTTGGCCGTTACCTGAAGACTGAAGACGGCGAGGCAGTCACAGACGTCGTCAGTACCCGCGTCATCGAAGACGCGAGCGCGCTTCTAGAAGGTATGATTTTTTTTTAATGTATAAGTTGTTGGTTAGTTGGTGACGAATTCATCGGGAATTAATAATATATATATATATATATATATATATATATATATATATATATATATATATATATATATATATATATATATATATATAGGAAATTCGCACAGAGATAAAAATGTTTATTAAAAAATAAAAACGTTTATCACAGAAAATATATATATTAGAGGACATGCCATGAATGTAGGTGTACGTTTGTTACTGGGTTATATGACGACCACGAAATGTCGATGAATTTGATAACGGTGACTATATTATTATAGTCACCAATGTCTTGATAAGATGAGAAAATGAATTATTGCTATAAAGAGATGGCTATGGCAATGAAAACGGGGTAGTTAATAATTAGCGCGTACGGGTGACTGATATGTCTCATCGTGACAATTTCATCACTCTTCTCAAGTTCATGAATATATTCTGGTTGTTATATCCCATGCGCGAATACGTACTCGTATATTAGAATGCCAATGGGACTTGATAATAATGGAGAAATTGTCAGCGTGTTAGCTCTAAAACAGTAAGGGTTTATTTATATACGGCGCGACAACCGGCTTGCAATATTTATGAGATATCTTATGGCTCACATTAAATTTTATGATTGTCCCATATATCATAAACGGTAGATATAATGGCCATTGATTTAATCTACTATTATTTTATTAACTTAAATAATACATTAAATTCAATAAATTAAGATCCTTTTAAGGCAGTGTTTTATCGTTAAAACTGAATATTTTCCTCCCAAAAACATGAGTTGAAGCCATAAAAAAAGCCAAATTTTTTTGTCATTTTCTTTTGACGATAAACAAACAAAAGGATATCTCACAATCTTGGTAGTTAGGATCCTTTACTGTAGTATTATAGAAAAAATATTGTTGGTCGGTACTTAATACTTTTTTTATTTATTACTCTTCTTGCCTGTGGCTTCGTCCGTTTAACTGAGGCATGAAATATATATATATATATCACCGTTTAATCACGACGTTACAAACAAAAAACTCAAAATCATATTTATAATATTAAGTAAGTGTAAATTCGTAGATTTTTTTCTGTTACTAGCAGTCTTGCAAACGGTGTATGTCTCCTAATCAATTTTCATCCAATTTCCTATCGACCCAATCAACTGTTAATTGCCAAAATCATTTATATTTACTTGGTTTAGTTTTCCCTGTAGATTTCTCCAGAATTACACTCATTATTTTGATTCATTTTTCTATATTTGTTATATTAGTGGAATTCAGGATTGTAATTATTATTTCCTTCAAGCCTTATATATAAATGGAAATTCCCGGATTAAATATGAACGCGGGTTTTACTGTCATGACAGAATCTAAAAATATTTACTTAACTACTGTAATAAAAAATCCGTTTATTTGTATGTATAGGGAAACTTTAAGAACTACAGAAACGAAATGAATTTTTTTCATGAATACACTACACAGTACCTGAAATAATGTATCGTATATTTCCTACGGAACTTCCCATGGGGACAACTAATGGGCACTTTTATAATTTGTAATATCACGGTACAGTGCGATTTTATCATCAGTCAGAATATAATAGAAAAGTAAATTGTATGCAATTGTATTGAAGAAATATTACCATTTATCATCAGGTGGGTCATATGCTTGTTTTCCAATACAGTAATATATAAAAAAAACGTTGAGTACTCTTTTGTTGGCTACTTTAATACGCATGTACAAAAGAACATGCGTATCGAAGCCGCGGACATAAGGTAGTCCTTGTGTAAACGACTTCATATTTTTTCCATATTAAAATTAAAAAAGTTGGTTTTTTGACGGACAATTGAGCATCGAAATATAAATGCGGTAAACTTAATGGATAGTAAAAAGAATAATATAATATAATTGAATCCATATAGAATTACACAAGATTTTTTTGTAACATCTCAAAAATTCTTTAACAAAAATGCCATTGAAGAAAGGATTTTTAAGGATGCGACTTTAAATTTATCACCTGATATGTTTGTTTTGTGTTTGATTTTACTTAATTTACTGGATTATTTTAACAAACTCGTTCTGTTCTTCCAGGCGGTTCCAAAGATATATTTTCAGAATGCATACGATGCGTGAAAAACTTCTTGGCGGGGACCCCATTCGCGGAGTTCGAGAGGTCCATGTACTTCCATCGGTATCTGCAGTGGAAGTGGCTGGAAGCGCAGCCCGTCACGCAGCACACCTTCAGGATGTACAGGGTCTTAGGGAAAGGGGGCTTCGGCGAGGTCTGCGCATGTCAGGTGAGCCGCATTTGTCCTTCAAAGCATATAAAGAATTTTCTGTCTTACATTGATGATATTTACTTTCGCAACTACTCCCTTTATTGTGAGATATTGCATTTTCATAAATTTATGAAGTATGGACAAATATGGACTTAATATTCTATGTTTTTACGTAGATTATATGATTTTACAAAATTTTAGTCATATTTTGATAGAAAGGGTTAAAATTTGGCATGATAAGTAGCTGGCAAGATAAACATCCTTTCATTAGTCAATGAACTAGACTAGAACTTCTCGATAGATACGAAATCTATATACGAATAGTTTTGTTTAGTTTGTAAACATTGAGTTTTTTTCGTGAAAATTAACCAGGGAGTTTAGAACGTAAAAAAATTCAAAGCGGCCATGTTTATATTTGATGTCTGTTTTTTTTTTTTTAAAGAAACGAGTCTTTATTTGTTAAAAAAATATGTTTGTTTATTTTATTATTATTTATTTATTTATTTATACTTTTGCACATATATGCCTAAAAAACAAGCCTACCAGTCAACCGTTACGCTACATAGAGGAAGTAAATAGCGGTGCATTGATTTAACAAAATGAGTTTGTAAATTAAATAAATATTTTGAATGATAACAATATTAATATATTTTAAGATAAATTAACATACAAACATATAGAATAATATACTTTATTGTTTAGAGCAGGCCATGCCCTCTAAAACTGACCATAATTTGAAATCTACAGGTCTGGGCTAGATGAGTGCCAATCTTCAGCTCTTATAAAGTCTAGAACGTTGATTTCAAACCCGGCTTGGGTAGTCCGTGCCTTGTGACCAGGTGCAGAGTCCTACTGAGAGGTTTCACAACACGATCCAAGACTGTATCTTGATACACTTTGGCTGAAATTTTTTACTCCTTTTTCACAAAAATGTAGTTTTGTGACTCTTGGATAAGATACGCCCTACCAAACTATCACATACGCAGGATGATGACCACGTTGTACCTTTCCGACCACTTAAGTAGCTTCTTCAGAACTGTGAGCGTACACTTTATCATTTTACTTATTGTAGTGTTCTTCAATCATTAAAATTTTTTCATCGTTCAAGAGGATATTTCTGTGGCTTTCATATCGTATCGCGACAGAAGGCGTTTTGATCGATCCACTCTCTTTAATTATAAAGATTGATTTAGGGCATGTCCTATATATCGACGATAAGCACCGAGCTTCAGGTCTTGTTTTATAATACAGAGTCCTAGCGGGAATCTTCATTTTTCGCGATAAGTGTTTTTGCTTCCTAATGGGGTTTCAACGAATGCTGGCACATGAATGAACAGCATTAACAGCAGCCATTATGCAATCTTTGTAGTTCTAACAGCACGCGGCCGTCCCGATCTTTTCTGGTCTTCGACAGAGGAAGTATTATTGTATCCATTAATAGTACGATATACGAACTTTTGAAGTATCTGGAAAATGACCGAGGGCTCTATACCGACTCTGTGCAAGGCGATCACTGCAATCCTATTTTCTTTAATACTCCATTCCATATTGTAATTTGATAATGAACACGAAAAAATATGTGAAATGGCGCGAAATCGAAAGAAGTTTTTAAAATAATAAACGTGTTCCAAATTCAAAATAATTAAAAAGTTGAAAAAAAGAAGGTTTTATGTAACAGTAGTTATGGCCAGTATATATAAAAATTTGTACAGTTGTTTGGTTTTTAAATCTAAATAACTTGTTTCACTACAATTGAAGGTTTTTTTTTAAATAATTTTAAATTATGAATAAAAACTTATCCAATAAGATTAGAAAATCGTACAGTACTTTATTTTGAGAATTCAAAACACGCGACCCTTGGATTTCAAATCATAGATAAAAAGATTAATAGTAGAAGTAGTACTTCCCAAATAATGGTAAAAAGGCGAAGTGATGATGAAATAAGAAACGTTTATTTAGGACTCAAGATTCGACAGAATCTTAAGTGAGTTTTATACTCTGAATTCGAAACAGCCTAAAGGTCTAAATAAGGTGAGAAGGATCTATTTAACCAATTTACTTCATCCCATTTATTATAACATAAATTAACTAACGTTTCAGGTACGAGCGACAGGTAAAATGTACGCGTGTAAGAAATTGGAGAAGAAAAGGATAAAAAAACGGAAAGGCGAAGCGATGGTACTCATAGAGAAGCAAATTCTTCAGCGGATTAATTCTAGATTCGTGGTGAACCTCGCCTATGCTTACGAGACAAAGGATGCACTGTGTTTAGTCCTCACTATCATGAATGGTACGTGTATATCATCCTATTGATTAATGTGAAAAGTTTTAAAGATTTGAACTTTCGTGTTGTTTACACATATTTTAAACAAACACACACAAATAAGTCCCGATTTAACGTGAAGTTTTACTTCGTAGGTAGGTAGGTACTTTTACAGGTAATGTACATGCCTGCTTTTTTATTGCCGATGTTTCGATGTGGATTGAACCACGTCGTGGTCACGATAAGTTGCGTTAAGTCCAGATTGTGTATTTAAGAAATTGTAAAGATATTTGTATGTTTGTTATTCAGTCACACTTAAACGACTATATTAATTTGAATGAAATGGTATACGGCTAGTTCAAAATATAGGCTATCTTATAAATAAAAATAATGCATTTTACTAATTATATATTAATGATATTTTATTAGTACGTACAGTCCCGACATAGAATAGGCCACCTTTTTTCTGTGGGTGTCGTAAGAGGTGAGTAAAGGAACTTAATGGTAGAGGATTGGGCAGCAGCGTCCATCTTAAAACATTTTTAAAAGCCTAACTACGGTTGCCATCCCGCCTGCCAAGCGTAGCAATTACTGGCAAAATTTCCCTTATAATAAGGCTTCTGTTCAGCAGTGGACAGTTAAAGGCTGATATAATTATGATATTTTTATTCATATTTCTTAGAGGAGTTTCTGTTTTTTTTTTAATATTTTTGATAATAATAGTTATATTTGCAGTCCATACAGAGTATTTTCGTGTTGGTCTCATATTAATTTTGTCGCGGTTAAAATAGCTATATTTCTATTTTAAGGTTTTAATATGCGATGATTATCTTTTTTCATCAGGTGTATCGTCCACTAGAATATGCAAATCCCATGTCAAAGGTCACCCTAAACCGTCTTAGTCTGCATCTAGTTTATTTACATTTTATTACTTCTGACATCTGAGACATCTTTTTAATTAAAAATTTGCATTTTATAACTGTCTTCTAGTTAATTATAATAGTAATTATGTTTTTTACATTTATATAAATTAAATTTCTACTATCGTCCTTGGGACTATTTTAAACTATATTTCTTTATGATTGTTGGTTGAGATCTTTTGTTCATTTTTCAGCGTGAAATATTTTTTATTTGTGATTAAGAAAATTGACGTTTTCTTTGCGGTACTAAATTGAGTTGCTGTTTAAATTGCAATAAAATTGGCATTTTATGAGTTTTTACGATTTAACTCTGCAAATCTGTCTACGTTGAATATAATAATTGGGACGCTGTTTTCACCTTCACAAAATTGTAAAGTCATTGCGGAAAGTTAGTTATGAACTATTGAAATAATTGACCCGATTAACTTGATTTACTTACATAAATATGTATGGTATTTTCCTTTACTTAATCATTTTATATTTATTACCTTTATGTTATGTTAATTTTATAAATAGGTTTTGTATAGTATTTTTCTTAAATATTATTTTTATTTCTCAGATATTTTAATAACCTTTATAGATGTAAAGTGTGATCCCTGCACAATTAGTGGATAGTTTCATTCTCTCATTGCTTTTAATTACAAATAGCGTTCAGCAATGATGATGTTGGCATCTCAGGGATCTTAAGATCGAATCCCAGCCCAGCTCTGAAAAATTATGCACTATTTCAAAATATTTTGTCGTTATTTTACTCATTTATGATATACGAGTATAGTTTTCTGTTTTCCGAGATTTTATCGAATTTTATAAAGTTTCGAGTACACAGTTTAGTTCACGAAACTTCAAAGTGTACGAGTTTAGTTTTCATTGAATTTAAGGAAATATTTTGTAATGCTTAGGTACTTATGATAAATTTTAAATCGATACAGAAAGTAATTTTTAATTCTTTTTAGAAGTAGCGGTTTCCGCTGTATGTCTTGATATCTCTGTGTGAGATGAGTCTCAATGGGCCAACTGACCTTCTTTCATCCTCATCTATCATCTCTCACCAGTGTCCCGCCTGCGTATACCGATAGCGCAGATGCGGTTACCACAGCATTTTCACCTACTAAAAAACCTATAATACGAGTTCTGCTTATTTTGGAAGTATAAAGAACTGTGTAATATATTTTGTGGCATTTATTTAATTATAATTTTTCTCGCTCTTTCCAGGCGGCGATCTTAAATTTCACATCTACAATATGTGTGGTGCGGATACTGGATTAGGACTGGAGCGGTCGAGGTTCTACGCTGCACAGGTCGCCTGTGGCCTAGAGCATTTGCATAAGATGGGCATCGTATATAGGTAAGATTGGTTAAACAAAAGGTAAAACTGATTTATTTATTCTCAATAAAGGATGGAAAGATTCACTCGGTAGTTAACATTAAGTATTTCTAAACGTTTCCCTAAAATTCAATTATACAAATTTGGAACGGATCTATTATGTTACCACTGTTGAATTTACCTGTTTGCTACTTCACTTCTCTCGTGTTTTTAGAATCCTAATTTTTACACTATTAATGTATTGTTACTGATAATAATTATGTTTAAGAATGTCTTTATTTGGAATTTCAGTCTTATAGTAAATTGAATTGGACCTTATTCAATTACTAACAAATGTTAAATAATACCTTTCTGATGTAGACATAGAAAATATCAATATAGGACGTAAATTATATAGCTGTTCCGTACGCGTTAGATTTTCTTAAAGTATATAAAATATCACCCTTGAACATTCTATAGTTTTCTTTCAGCTTCTCAAAGGTTGATTGTACCAGATCTTTCTATGGGATAAGTCCGCCATTGAATATCAAATCATTTAATATGTCCAATGTAAATTATGTACAAAAAAGATTTCACAATACAATATAATATAAGAAAGAAATATTAATAATCTCATTACATAAAGTCATTATCAAGCCATTATGTAATATATTTATATTATTGCAGAGACTGTAAGCCTGAGAATATTTTATTGGATGACGCGGGCCACGTTCGCATCTCTGACTTGGGGTTGGCGGTGGATGTGCCAATCGACGGCAGCGTCCGCGGCCGCGTCGGCACCGTTGGATACATGGCTCCCGAGGTACAATACCTTTTACCAGACTATATTGCACGCTTCGCTTCACATTGTTTTATGAGTACATCCCACCACAGTTCACCGCACGTCATTATTATATCATCCACATATCACATTTCACGTTATCATCTTCCATTGATTTATATTGTCCTTTAATTGAACAGAAATTGTTATTGTTTTACAATTATTTACAATTAACACTAGAAATACACTACGATAGCTTTGCTGAATTGGCAAGTTAGACATGCGGAAATTCGTTTCGTAGCTATTCGTTTTTAAATATAATTAATATTTTTAATATTTTTATAACATTTCGTTTTCATTTTGTTAATGTAAGCATTTATTAAATCTCTTATTTTGTGGATATCCTGGGGATTGCAAATACAACGGTAAATTAAGTATTTTTTTATGGTTCCAGAAATTTAACTATATTTTATTTAATCATTCTTTACCGCATCTAATGATAGACAGAGATATTTTCGTACTCCGGGAGGGACTGGTTTGGGTGTAAATATAGAAAAAGTGCAGATACTAATATATTTATTTTTTCAGGTGATAGACAACGAGAGGTATACTTTCAGTCCAGATTGGTTTTCATTCGGGTGTCTGGTGTACGAAATGATCGAAGGTCGGGCGCCTTTCCGCGCGCGGAAGGAAAAGGTGAAGAGGGAAGAAGTCGATCGACGAGTCAAGGTTAGTAATCATTTATTTATTTTTATTTATTTATTGCAACAGAAACAAAAATATACAATGACAGTTGAATAATTCAAGTGAAATACAGTAATACTCGTATAAATATAGATTGAAATATATACAAAAAGGTCAGTTTTATTCTTAGTGCAATTTCTTACAAACAACCTTTGGTTAAAGGAGAACAGATAGAAATTCTTGCATAAAATATAAAATCATGCGCAGAACACTGAAATTTGATGTTATTATGTGTAGTATGATACCAACGATTTGACAGAATTTACATGATTAAGTTGTGCAAATTTAGTGCTTTGGTTTATTTCCTGTTGCGTATTAGTAAAAATACTTATTTCAGTAGAATTTGGAAATTAAATAGTGGAATCTTTATTTTTTAAATTGTTCAACTGTTTTTTGATATTTTGAAAAAAGAATAGTAATGGTAGATATAGTAGTAGGATGAAGTAAGGTCAGTCGGCTCATTCTTACATCTTCATTAGAAATTGTTAAAGTACGATGGTGTAGACAGATGAAGTATCTGATATACAGTATATATAATGGTTTTTCTGCGTCTGTTGATGCAGCATGAACAGGAGAAATACTCGAGCAAGTTCAGCGATTGCGCGCGTTCGTTGTGCTCTGGGTTACTCGCGAAAGGTCCAGCCGCGCGGCTCGGCTGCGGTGCTGGTCGGCGTGGCGCCGCACGTGTCAAGCAGCACAGATTTTTTGCTATGCTCAACTGGGCGCGGCTCGAGGCTGGCATGGTGGAGGCACCCTTCGTACCTGATGTGAGTCTGTTCTCTATACTCTTCAATATTTCGCTACCTCGATCCCTCTTTCAGTCTTCCAATGCCCCTATTTTCTATCCTTTTTTCCTATTTTCCACTTTTCCTCCTACCATTAAAATTGTTTTATGAAATTAAACCTAATAAAGCCCATCATTCCCATTACTTATTTTAAAAACCGCTATTTCGCATGCTTACAATTTCTTATAATAAAATATATATATCCTTTTAACACAAATTTCATACATCCTTTTAACACAAAGGATCTATGAAATGATGGTATAAGGCAGAGGGAAGCACAAAAGATCCGTATGGGTCGACGTGCATCGGCTTAGCTGACCCCATATGCGAATAAAGGATAAGATAAGATATTTTAAAAACCGCTATTTCGCATGCTTACAATTTCTTATATTAAAATATACTATGTTGTGGTACTACTATCGTACGGCTCGCCATCGACAGGGAGTTCATCCTCATGTTCTACAGACTCAATGGTCGCGTACTGCGCGGTTTCAGAGATGTTTCCTCCCACGAACATTTAGGTTGTGGAATGTGCTCCCTGCCGAGGTTTTCCCAAAAGACTACAGCATGGGGTTCTTCAAAATGGGGGGTAAAGAGGTTTCTTCAGGGTCGGCAACGCACGCGTAATACCTCTAGTATTGCAGGTGTTCATAGGCTACGGTAACCACTTACTATCAGGTGGGCCGTATGCTTGTTGGCCACCTCAGTGGTATAAAAAAATAAAATAAAAATAAAACTACCCCTACTGTCAGTGTTGTCATTGTGTTATAAAATTTACATATATATATATATATATATATATATATATATATATATTTTAGCCGCACGCTGTATACGCGAAGGACGTACTAGACATCGAGCAGTTTTCAACGGTGAAGGGTGTGAACTTGGACGCAGCGGACGACACCTTCTACGGCAAGTTCAACACTGGCTCCGTGAGCATACCGTGGCAGACTGAGATGATCGAGACCGGCTGCTTCGCTGAGCTCAACGTGTTCGCAAGAGGTTAGTCAGTGAATACCACCTGTGGAATATTATTATTGTGGGCTTAGTTAAAATTGTGTACTTTTATTATTTAATAAATTTATATAGTTGTTTAAAAATTTTATTCAAATTTATTGAGAAGTTTTTGCGTGAAAAATTAACAAACATCCATCCATCCTTACTAATTTCTCATGTATAATATTAGATAGTATGTGAAACGCTATATTTGTTGTTGTTTATGGATTTATTATTTTTTAAAGAAAATGTCCAATTTCATTTATAAATAGTGTACCAGTGCCTGGTAGTGATTTATATTTGACCCTTGTATTTTGATGTGGACAGCTGAGGATGGGCGAGAGGCCCGCACTGCAGATCTACAGCTGGCGCCCGCGGCCGCGCCCGCAGACGAGCCTCGCGGCTGCTTCGTATTCGCACGTCGGGTTAGTTTACTATCCTTTACTGTGCTCCACAACGGATTATGATACTATAGAAATAATATAGAAATAATTTGTATTCATGTAAACTTTATATTTTAATGTAATAACTGAGGGTTCCGAATGGTCCCGAAACTTGTCGAGCTTTCTCGACTAAAATACACGTAAATTTATTACTAGTTATTATACATGAAAATATAATGTGTACTCACAAAACTTTTGTGTAAATCTTATTTAAGTGTTTTTAAATAGTTTTTTATTTTTTTTTATTTTACCACCCAATTAGGATTGCAATTTCAACTGAGAAGAAAGCGCAAGAAACTAAATAGTGGTTTTTATAAGTTCAATATAAAAATATATTAATTTGTAGAAGTACAAACTATCAAATAATACCAGATTTAAAAAAAATTGCATGCAATTAAAACAAATAAATAAGTTATTTACTATTGGTATATAAATCAAAAAACCAACATCAATGGACAAATTCAGCAATCAACTTTTAAAATACTACTCAATTTTAAGCACGCATGTTCTGTATTATGGCGTATAATTAGAACCGGATCATGCACACTACGACCGACTGCAATGCTCAACTAATAGTCTATTTTGTTTATTTGTTTTAAAGATTTATTTATTATGCGCTTGCCTTTAGTGACTGGGCCTTTCAATGGTAAAGCCACAGTGTAAGGATCAACCAGTGTTTTAACGCGTTTGATATATTCCAAACAATTATATATTATATTGTTTGATAGGCATCACATTGTTTAGACATCGCTGTTGGTATATTGATAGGAAAAGAGGTCTTTGTACTGTGGTAAAGCTATATGTTGTGTTTTAGGTCCTGTGCCCGCAAAAGAAGGTGCCCCCGCGACTGCGACCGGTACCGGTGCCCGAGCACCTGCTGCAGCCCGCGTCGGCAGCGCCGACTGCCGCCGCGCCTCCCGCACCGCCCGCGACACAGCCTCCGCCCGAGGACGCCACCGTCAACAGCTGACCATCGGACGACCATCTGACATCACACTAAGTCTACGTATGTATACACGTCGCTCGGCTGGGCTCCCCTGCTTCTAGGGGTCCTGCGCCTCCCCCGAGGCTAATCGTCCAGGGGTCCCTCATCTAAAAGATTTGGAAGTACTCTTTCAGATCTGCGACTCTGTGTCGGCTAGGTCTACATTCAGAGTTGTAGATCCAGATTCATTAAAGAATTTAAAAGAAGCCACAAGTGGCCTGAAGGAAGTCGTCCGCAATTATAACAGCTTGTGTAGCTAGCAGAATTTGTCTGTAAGTATTGGAAAAAAATAATTGTAAGGTGCATCGCCTAAAGGCGTCCACTGTAAAATCCTATTTTTGTTTCAGTCTGTGATTTAATGTTTAAAAATGTCACTAAATTAAAAAAAAATAAAAAATAAACATAGACTTAAAAATTACAATTTAGTTGTTGATTTGGTCGCCTACCGATTGCTTATAATTCATAAACACTAACCTATTTTTCAGTTTTTTAATTGTCAAATAAAAATAGAGTTACTCTTTGTGAATTATCAATAATTTTTAACTGACCAAATGTCAAAATACTGACTAGGTTGAAAAGTTCCTTGTTTTGCAACAGAACTATAACGGGACTAGTAAACAGTCTGATAATCTTAAGCAGATATCATACAGTTTATTGTATAATTGACTGTTTCATAAAGTGATCGACGTGACGATTGCTTGCCTTTTCTTTCGTTTTTATTGCTCGTTACTAGTGCGGAAGTGAAGAGGACATGCGCGTATTAGTCGTTTTTGAAATTGTTATTTTTGTGCTAGAATAACATTCTATTTTCAGATTTAATGAATTTTTATTATGAGGGTACTTTTTTATTGTAGATTTGTAAAGTTTTCATAGTATTTTACTGTACTGTTTGAATTTTCAAAGAAAATGTATATGGTATAATATTTACTACATATCTTATATAATAATACTGTTATAGTATTACATTATCTGTGTCTATATGTAGGGAGTTCTCCATCTAGGTCTGTCGGTTCGACTATATAATCGTATTAATCTTTGGAACCATGACATAATATTTAGATATTAGTTTATGTATATATGTTTATTTATATGAAACAACTTTTTAGTATCTCTGTATTGTATAAATAAATTGTATTGTATGCAGTATTCACTTATATCGCCTATTTTATTATTATTTTATATTATTCATAACTAAAGAACTTAAGCTATTAGAAGATACTCGTATTGAGGGGAATATTAGTATTATATACAACACGGTTTTTAAATGTTTTTAAATGTCAGGCTTTTATTTAAATAAAAAAAAAACTGGTCAACTGGATAGCAATGTGTCTTCTGTTAATAATTTTAATATGTAATTAATAATTAATATTTATCTACTAAAGTACATTTTTATAATTAAAAAAACTCTATTGGTATCATGCATTATGTTTGTAATATGAATCTTAGTACCGACTCCCTCAGATACAATCTGTCTGACAATAATTTTTTTGCTCTGATCTTACAGTATGTCACCTTTTAATGTTTATAAATTACGTAGACTATTTTTATCTTTTTTTTATATATATATATTACTATGTTTTCTTAGAAAACTCAAACGGTAACATAATTATAATGTATCTTCGAAAATTAACAGAAATCAGTATTTTAAATATATGACATTGTCGAAATATTAACTATCAAATTAAAAGTTCAGTTCTAAAGAGGTGTCCGGTCAATCAGTATATCTCGATTATGTGGATGTAATGAAGAATAAAAACTAGATTAGATATAGAAAAAAGAAAGAAGAAATAGAGAGACATGTGTAATAATAAAACATAATAAAAATGTTTAATTTCTTTTTAATTTGATAGATAATACAAACAGTAATATATTTAACGCAGTAATTTATTTATGAGAGACCCTTTTAAGTTCCTGAATCGCGTCTCTAGTACCGAATGCTCTCTAAGAGAAGCAATTATCAATGCATCGTGATGTAATTTAGACTTTATTAAGTAGGTTTACACTTAAAACTGTCAGTTGGTCATTTTAAAAATTATTGCACAACCATAAAAGCAGACGGCTGGATTTACATAATGAACAAATGCAAAACTATTGTTATTTATTGTAATAAATTTACCATACGAGAATAGTATTTAACGAGGAAGCAAATGTTATAGCAGTATGCGTTGACTGATATATACTTTTTCTACGAGTATTTTACATTTTTCGCTCAAAATATTGTATGTGTAAGGTTGTTACACATTTGGCGTTATCGACTTCATTTCCAGGGAAATAACGTAAGTTCCATTGAAATGGCAACGACGTGATTATTTCTTTTTTTTTTTTTATTGAATTAGCTAACCCAGTTTTATATATTTTCCAACGATTTCAGAAACGACTCAGTTTTCGATGAATCAGTTATGGAAACCAACTCATCTAAATTGCCTATACCCTGTGTGACGAAATATTCTTTGGTCCAACGTATATAGTAAACTAGTTAACTGGTCAGGTATTGGATATGATCTTATAGTATGTATTAATAATGCTATTTTGTATTACGATTCTGTCACTAGCCACAACTTTGTGGATCGTAATTTAACAACGGATCTTAGTCCCCTAGACAAGATTATTAGATTTTCAATGTATGTAATAAATGACCTTTGAATAGAATATTGAATTTCATCATAAAAATAATATTATTATTATGGAGTCTTCATATAAATGTAGTAAGTCGGAAAATCCCATACATCATTACATTCCTTAAGGCGCCTGCAGAACATCCTTCCTTTTAGAACTTGATTACTGGCTCAATCTCTTCTTTCTCTCCTAGACTTTTCTGATGTTGCCCCCTAGATCCCACACAGGAGCTGCAAAACCAATGTATTAGATACATCTATAATAACCTTCGAAAGTTCGACCACATATCTGGTTATCGTAGTCAACTCAAGTGGCTTCCCATCAGACTATGGAGAAATGTCCACATTCTTACTCTCTTCAATATCCTTTTTAATCTAACATTACCTTCGGGAAAAGTACAAATTTCGCGAGATTGATGCCCGTCTGAGATGCAGTAATGACTCAATTATACATTTGCCTTGTTTTAATACTCGAAGCTATGCCACGTCTGTATGCTGTACATGCTGCACGTCTCTGGAACTAACTTCCTAATAACTTGAAGATGGCACAATCATTAAAATCCTTTAAAGCAGGTATTATTAAATTTTATTCTGAAACCTCTTTTTAATTGGGCCAATTGTGAGTATATGTATGTATGTAGGTTTATTATTATTTATTTATGTATTAATGTTATTCAATTTTTACTAGATATAATTTAGTTTATCTTTAGCTCTACGGTTTTTACCCTTATACATTCTTCAGTTTTCTTTCAGCTTCTCAAAGGTGGACTGTAAGAGATTTCTTTATGGGATAATCTTTTAATGTATCCAACATAAATTAGTACAATAAAGTTTTTACAATACAATACAATTATTTACAATTGTATATATTATAAATTTTGTGTCATTCGGTTTGAAATTAATAATAAGGAAAATTATAATAGTAATATAAAATCACGACGTTGCATTTCCAAAGGTCTTGTTAAGTATTTCCTGTAAATGATATTTACGATCTTAATGTTATTTTAATGACTTTGACAGTGTATATAGTTATATACTATTGTGTAAGTTGACAAAAAATGCTGCAGTCACTGAATGTGTAACGACCCTAAAGAGTATTAAATGAACAAATTGTTTTTGTACTATTTATTTCTTTTTCCTATGTGTATTTGAGAATTTTTGAATGATATTATTTAAAGTATATAAAAGTATTTTATGTTTATTAGAACCAAGTGTAAGGGATATTTTTATTGTACTATATTACTCATTTTCTAAGTATCTACATGTTAGAAAAGTTATTATTCTTGACATTTTTACAAACAATAACTTACATTTTTTTTCTTATAAAAAAATAAAATCAAATACATATTAATTCATAGAGGATTATGGTGGTTTCACAATTTTGTATATCAAATAGACCATATTAAAAATATTTGAAATGGTAAAATTTAGATTATTATTCAAGGACAGAAAACCACTTAAATACTATATATTTCGCTAAATATTGACGTGCACAATTTAAAATAAAAACATAAATAGATAATCGAGCAATAATATGGAAACGAATTGTCTATGTCTCTTTTTGTCTATGGTATATTGTAATAAATTTTCTAAAATCTATATGGTTTATGTCGAGTTTGTATAATATAAACCTATTTATGTACTCCCAAAACGTCTGATGTAAATGTAAGTTGTTATAATTTAAATTATTGTGAACCCCCGCACAAAATGTCCGCAAGCGCCATCTTTTGTATATTGCCAATATCAAAAACATACTTCCATATTATATTAGTGTGTAAGTATTAATGCATTTGGATGTGTACCTTTATTTTTTATTGTATTTTAATATTTCAAACGCCTAATATAATGTCTTGAGCGTCGCGGTGTTTTCATTCAAAGGGTATTTGTGTAAGATATTATATTGCTGTTGAACAAGAATATTTTTTTATTCGCACTTGTATTTGGCTGAATGGATGTTCTTGTCGCTACTTCATTTTCGTCCATTCCAAAGCAAATTGTCATATAAAAATAGAACAAACTAGTTGAACGAGTAGTACATAATTTAGGACGTTTTTGATGCTCCCTATTAGACTCCTTAAACCAATTTCTCGTGTGAGTTCGGATATTATCTAGTAGTTGTATTAAAGTTTTTGGTGCCGTATTAATAATTAGTAATTAATAATAAATTGGGTATTGTTTTATAACTGCCTTTATTGATTATCCGAACTTCACGAGCACATTGGATATGGTTTCATTAATTGGTATTCCACCTAAGAAATCGTGTAAAGCATAGTACCACAAAAGAAACAAAAATTAAATAAAGAAAAATAATATAAAATCATTGTATTGACCATATGACGACGTTTTAAAGGAATTTATTATTGTCATATGATCACTGCACACATATCTAATTGTTTTTACTTAGACTATGCTCTACATATAGTTGTAGCGAAATCTAATTAATGTTAGTGGTATGTAAAACAATTATGATATAAAACCACAAAACTTTTTAGTTGTGATTCTTAGGTGGAAAGGCCTATTAAGTTCTAGTGACCAACAATATTACCCTGAAATAAAATAATAGGGCTGCTACTCGTATATGTATATATACACATAAAAGCGATGCAACGAGGCACAACAAATATCGATAAATCTATTAAAAATTAAGCCACGCTTTACGTTTTTCATGGTGTGATGTCGCGTCGGTTTTATGTATATATTATTAGGTCAAAAGAATGTATTAATTCAATTCAACGTACGGAAATGCTTAAGTAAACTCAGCGTCCTAACGTTTTGTACTGGTTAGGAAGTCAACTGTACAATACTTATTAGCATATTGAGACGTTGGAATTTATTTCTATAATAAAATATCACGGCGGATTAGGGACTTTTATATTTGAAAACTTTGGAAATATTTAATCGATTGTAATGTCCCAAAGTCCGTAATAGTCGCCGAAAATACATTTAAGGCATTTAAGAAAGTACTTGTCACCGAATTTTTGTATGAATTTACATATATTTGTTTATTATATTATAATAGACGAGCATATACCTGTATCATACTCACTGATGCATTTCGATTAAATGTGTGGTAATATTGTGGCGTTCAAATGCTGTGCCAATGGAACGTTCTCGAACTGTGGCGTCATTCTGTTAACTAATAGTATTATTTAAGTATTTTTGTTTTAATATAATTCACAGTACGACCTCGATAGATTAGCGGCATCGAGGTATCCGAGCTCTTTTGTCAGTCAGACAACTAAGGATCTACGTGTAACCAAGTGCAAGTTTCACTCAAAGCTTAATTTGACATCCTATTCTTAAAATAACTTTTTTGAAAAATTACAGATAATTGCGACGTTCCGAAACTTTATCAAGATAAAGTTATGAACGCTCTTAATCTATGCCTAGAAAAGAATATTAAATGAACAATACAGCGGATATCACGAAATAAATACCTAAAATGGTATTCGTAATATTGTTTGTATTGTCATGTTTTTATGTGAAGGTTACATTTCAGATGAACCACTATCAAAGCTTGTACACTGTACTTAGGTCGTCTGTGTTGGACTAACTGAGCGACAAATTATTTTATTGAGTCGAGTCTGTTCGAGTTGTTATTGTCTGGTTTCTCATAGGGTTCTAGAGAGTTCATCATACAGGGTTTTAGATTCAGAATCAGATAACTATGCGTTGAATTTATGTAAAGCAGGTTATGTAATTTAAGAATTTTAATCATCATTTATATTTTGATATATGGCATCTATAAAGCTAAAAGCTACTGAACAGTATTATTTTCGGGTCCCTTAGACAGTTATCTAGAAAAAAATCACAACGTCGTTATATCTATCTATTTATTACTTCATCATTTTTTAAAGCTTCATTTCGATTTTTATAGGAAGAGGCTTATTCAGGGTCGGCAACGCGCACGTAACATGTCTACTGTTGTAGGCGCTAATAGGTTACAGTAACCGTTTATTATTATTAGACGGGCTGTATGCTTGTTTGCCACATTTGTGGTATAAATTTATATCTATATATATAGTTATTCTTTAATAATTTGTAAGACTGTTTTTCCATAGGATACTACAATCTTTTTTCATTTATCTTGTTACGGTATAATCATTTTGTAATAGTGTTTAAGAATAAAATAGCCAGAAATAATTTCGTTATTTCATTGGTACATTTCTATAAAAAGACATGCCAAGATTTTTTTACATTTTTGTCATTTACATAAAATAAGTTATAGCAACATTTTTTAGTATATTATGTGTGGATTGTTTTATTTTTATATCGTTCCATCGCATAGCATGTGAGCGGCACAATATATTGTAACGTATTATTACCGCATGTCGCCGTTTACAATGTAACCGGCCCGGCTGTACGTAGCTTTAGTGTATTGTTAGCTTTTCGGGACGTTAGGCGTTATGCAGTATTTGGATGCAAATATTATTTAAGCGTATTCATAAATAAATAAATTGACTCCGATATAGAAACTGTCGTTTTATTATTTTGATTTGAGGCATTCCAGTATATTGAAAGGCCTTAAATAGAAGATCTAATACCGATCACCGATTTAGATAGATACTCTTTATTGTTTCTTCCAAAAGATTACAATAATAAACTTATTATAGATACAAACTAAAAAGCAGTTACAAATTACAATTATCACTAAAAGCGATCTCTTCCAAGCAGCCTTTGGATTAAGAGGTATATACATATATAGCGAGGAGGCTGCTTTGCTAATAATTACTTTCCCCTTTCCCCCACCTGTTTGTTTTCTGGCCGTGAATCGAATGTTTGCATGGCCCTTTCGGTTTAAAAGTGGGGATTCTCACCCTGCCATTATTTATGGCAGTAACATTACGGGGCATTGTGGTTCTACACCTTAATCTTCCTGAATGGTAATGTGGGAGGGGTGCTATCGGCATTATAATGCACTTTGCAATGTCCAAGGTAATTCATCTCTATAAGCAAGGGTTACTAATTTCCATTAAATAAGCTGTAGTTTTAAGCTGTTTGAAGTTTTTATTTTAATATTTAATATCATTATGTCAGTTCTTTACCTGTTCTTAATATAGTAATAACAAGCCGAAATGATGCCTATGATCATGTACTTTATGATAATGAAAAAAAAAAACATACAATTCAACAAAATTTATTCACAAATATATTTAAATATCAGTCGAACATCAATTATATATAATGTACTTCGTTTAAACTACACAAAATGCACCGTAATAAGTCTTTAAAAATAAGATTACAAGCGAGGCAATTAAATCTCCATGTAACGAAAAGTAGTAGTCTTGGCAAAGTAAAATATAACACGATAGTTTAAAGAATTGATATCTTGTGATTATGTGATGAAAGTTTATATCGAAGTAAGTTTTGAAGAAGAATCATCGGAGAGAGAGAGAAAGAGTGCAAAACTAAATTATAACGTCTACGTTAATTAAAAGAGGTAAAATTTGTTCACAGAAAGGGTATATATCTCTGAAACTACTTAATTGATATCTTTTATAATAAAAGAAAGCTATACTAACCTTTAGTAATTAATATTACATCGTTACGGAAATAAGATAACGGGTTGGTGCAAACACAACTAGACAATATTAAATAAAAGCAGCTTCGATGTTTATAATGGATATTGAAGCGGATTCCCTTCTGTATATTAGTACGTTATTTTATTCGGCCAAGATTTTTTGTGATTACTTTGTCAAATTATACAAATATCATAACTAAAAGAAACTTACAATATGTCACTGGGTAGTACATTTATTAAAAAAAAATCCACGTATGTTACATGCATAAACAATTCCGGCGATTTCTTTTATTGGCATTAGTAGTAACCTATTTCCCAGGTCCATATTATTAACAATATATTTATTATTCTAGAGTAATTAGTTATTGAATTTAGGAATATAATATAGTTAGATAAGTTTATAAAAATGATCGAATTATACACGATTTTCATTTATTACCAACTCCTAACAGTCTTAATAACTAGTAGTCGCTCGTGCAGAATGTTATTTCTCATTTCTGTCGAGTTTTTAATAACCTTTTGTCTGTCACAAAGGAACCTCCGTGCCCCAATCTGTGCAATAATATGTCAATGTACTTTGACATGAACATTCCGTAGTTTTGCATCATTGATATGTACAAAACACAGATAAGTAAACTTAAAATTATTTAATAAATTAATTAAAATATTAATATCGTAAAGTTATTTCCGACGAGAAACTCAATTTAAAGAAACAAAGAAAGGTGTATGGAAATCGGTTCATTTTGCTAAATACAGCGCGAATAAACTTATAAAAATCATCTTTATAAAGGGCAATTTTTAGGAGCAAAACAAATATGGAGGTTGTGATTTTGGACCAAAGGTAAATCTTATTGAATATAGAATAAGTACTATTAGATAAAAACACGTTCAATCATTTGCATTGAAAAAAAAAACATTAATTCACGTCTATTTCACAATAAGGTAAATAGTAGTGCCAGATCTGTAATTAGTTATGATTTACAGCAAATTATCAATAAAAATTGCTAATCCTATGCACTTGCTTTTTTCTTTTGCACATTCTTTTTATCTGTATATATTCTTTGGAAAAGTACGAATTTTCCGCTCTGTATATACTTCGTTTCATATATAGCGCCCTCTATCCTCCAAGATGGTGTTGTGCAGTGTTGCCAACTTCTTGAATTTTTAGGTATTTGTAATTTATCCAATAATTTGCACATCATGTCTGGAATTATGGGCTGGAGAATTATACCACATATTCTTAAGGTTTCCATTGTTATGTGAAGTATGACGTCAAGCTTTTTCTGGTTTTCCAAATGCTTACGAAGTTCCCAAGGTCGATGTGTCTCGAAGAACAGGTTAGCCAAGTGTAGAACGTGTATAACCGCATCTACTGCTTTGTAGAATTGGTAGTTTGTGTAATGGTTGTAGCATATTTCTGCATAGAAAAAAAAAAATTTGGGTTGAGAAATAAACTCATTGTGAATGCAGAAAGTTTTGTTGAATATTCTTGAAAAATAAGTCTAGAGATTTAATAAGAAATAACTATTACAGTTAACAAAAGGAAAAAAGTGAAATATGCAAATAAGAAAACAGTTTTTATAAACTGAATTATAATTTATCTCTACACTAGGTCACTTAGGCCTGGATTATGGAGAAAGGCTACAAGTGGTGTAGCGTGGAGCTTCATATGGGGTAGACCAGTTTGTTTTAAGTCGCTCCTTAAAACAAACTGGTCTACCCCATACGAAGGGATACATGTGCATGAAATTAGAATTAAAATAAGCGCGTGTTTTTGCTTGATGCTTACCAGGCAATTTTTCGACTTGGAGCAACAGCTGCGCTGTGACCTCCTCTTGACTACAGTCTATTAGTTCAGCGGCGTGCAGCGCGGGGAATTCCTGGCGAGGGTTGAGTGCCACGCCGCAGCAACGGCTCGCCAGGTTACCCAGGGTGTCAGCTAGCTCTGAATTCGCCACGTTGATCAATTTTGTTTCGCTGTAATCTGCGAATAGTAAAATATGTGACATATCGTGTAAGTAACGTTTGTCATGACTGTTTATATCAACCAACACAAGCAGAAACAATCGCAACGTAAGTCGCGGGTAAAATCTTTTTTCTTAAACATGTACTAAATTTCCTTTTCTTACATGGGTACTATGTCTTGCTATAGTCATTAATTACGTCAGGATGAAAAACAGTGGTAAAAGTAACTCTTCCAGTGCTATTGCTTTACGTTGTAGAGTACTAATGAGAGATGACAGGTAAGGATAAATGCAGGTCAGCGGGTCTATCGTAACGAATTCATCGTTAAGCATGATTGTTTCTATCTGATAGGATTATGTACCCTGCTAATCTCTATTACTAACAATCAGCCCATTAGGTGGACCTTCGTATAGTTCTGGAACCTATACCTCTGGAAACCATCTTAGTTATTTCTTGTTAAATTCGTCAGGATGGGCCACTGCTGACGTGCTGATAGTGCAGACGGGATTACCATTCCACTTTCATCACTTGAAAAAAAAAACCTAAAATAAAGAGGAGGACAATTATCAAATTATGTTATGAGTAAGCTGGTAAGAATCTCACTAGCATCTGAAGCCATGGTCGCCTCCCTCAGTAGCAAGTATCTCAGAGCGGAAGGCGACACGCCCGTGGATCTCGGACAGACTACATTCCCCAGTGACTTGGACATCTTGCTGCCGTCCACAGTCCAGTGACCGTGACACAGCAGCCGACGCGGCGGGTGCCATTTGATAGCCATGAGGAACGCTGGCCAATAGATGCCGTGGAACCTAGAGAATATGGGACCTTGATATTATTTAAGGTAAAAAAAATATTACATGTCTTTCTTTATAAGGCTCATGTTAAATTATAAATTACTAGAAAGAATTCGAAGATTTATTTTCATGGGAATTTCTAAAAACTCTTATTGCTGACTGATTTTATTTGAAGAATTATATTATTTTTATTGCAGAATCCTAGATGTAAATTTTTCAAATTTAGAAACAGTAGCAGTAGATTACTAACGGATTTATTTAAAGAATTATCTTTTTTAAATTTTCAAAGAATTTTATTAAACAAAATAAGTTAATAAATAGTTTAGTATTGTAATCTTTCGGAGGAAACAGTAAAGAGAATCTATCTATAAATACAAATCCTAAATTATTATAAATCTGAAAATTTCTACACATATTTGTATTAATATTGTATAAAATAAATGTGATAACTATGTGATCTTTCACCAGAGTCAGATTGGGAATACATACTTGAGTATGTCCTTTCCCACAACTTGCACATCTGCCGGCCAGGGTCGCCCCCTTGCCGTCATGGAGTCAGCGTCTGGGTAACCCACTACAGTTAAGTAGTTGATCAGAGCGTCCAGCCACACGTAGATACTTTGTTCTTCATCGCCGGGGACCTGACAACGACATGTAATATTGCTATATATCGTGTAAAAGCGTGTGCTTATATAACTTGAGAATTTTTTAGAACTTTTAAAAATATCATTCAATTTATATGAACGAATTATAGGGTATAATTTATAGAGAATACACAAAGATAAATAAATAGCTCTTTGACACATGAGGGTTATATTTTAGTCTACAAAAATAGCAATGCCAGAAGCTAATATTCCTAAATACAATTAACTTATTTTGTTTGAAAAGTAGTAAAAAGGATGGTGCATAGTATTTAAATACCGTTAACACTTTTCACCAGAATCTGGCATACAAAATTAATTTAATTGAGTTATGAACACAAAACAAAAAACGAAAGTCACATATTTACTTATTTCGTCATATAACTAGTCTGGCCATAAATACTGTTTCATAAAAACTTCTTTCGATTTCGCGCCATTTCACATATTTTTTTGTGTTCATTATCAAATTACAATATGGCATGGAGTATTAAATAAAATAGGATTGCAGTGATCGCCTTGCACAAAGTGGGTATGGAGCCGTCAGTCATATTACAGACCCTTCAAAAGCTTGATATAAGCCATATGTTCGTATATCGTACTATCAACAGATACAATAACACTTCTTCTGTCGAAGACCAGAAAAGATCGGGGCGGCCTCGTGCTGTTAGAACTACAAAGGCTGTTAATGTTGTTAAAGTCAGCATTTGTCGAAGCCCCATTAGGAAGCAAAAAATCTTTAGATTTCAAATTATGGTCAGTTTTAGAAGGCATGACTTGCTCTAAACAATACGGCGAAATTGAGTCTCTTAAAAAATCTTTGGAGCAAGCAGTGGCGAAATTTCCCTTGGAAACAGTGCGTAAATCCATAGATTTGTGGCCAGACAGATTAAAGGCCTGTATAAAAGCCAAAGGTGGCCATTTCGAATTTTTTTTTAAATTTTTTGCTGAGATTAATAAATGTAGGTTTCAATTTTAGTAATGTTACAAAAAAAGTAATGTTACTTCATAAAAAAAAATGCTATTTCATTTGTAACAGGACTTATGGCTGGACTAGGTATATATCAACATATTTACTTATTAATAATACATTATAAAAATTATAAATAACAGTTAATCGAGTCACATTATATTTAAGTTAAAAATTATTAAAATATGCATTAATTGAGTAAAAACATTTTCTATGAGTCACCTTTTTAATGATGATGAGCATATATCTACCGATAACATCTACCAAAGTATTACAAGATGAGTGTTGAATTTATTCACCATTTCAGATAGTATGAATTACATTTTTCAACTTACTCGTATAGCCCAATGTACTCTGGATGAGGGTCTGCTGACTGATATATCAGGGAAATAGGCTTCATTCTCCAGAAAGTCTTGCAGTTGCTTTTGATATTTGCCTGGAGTTATCACACCATCTGAAATATGATTTGTAAGAAGGCTAAATGGTCCAGTGGATGTTTGGTTAATGTGGTATTTAAGCAATTTGAAAAAGTATGTGTTCTCATGTGTATTTTTTGTATTTTGTGCTATAATTTCACAAATTTTGAACTGATTTTAATAATTCTTGTTACAATTAACATATTTTATGTCTACATAGGTTGGGTAGTAGGTCCTATGTATCGATGATATTGGTTTCTCTTTGCCTACTGCGTGAGAGATACGGTGATGAGACATTGACAGATATTTCATACATTTTATATAAATATACTTTATGTCAAGACTGTATTTAATTCCATAACGAATTTATTGCTTAAATTTTTATCTAACCATTTTTAAGCCACTGCTGCAGATGAGTTTTGAACGCGCTCAGTCTAAACATATAGTTGGTTTCCTCTGTCCATTCCACTCTGTGGTTTGACTCGACCGATACTTTAATCTGTTGGAATAAAAACACAATTTCATTAGTTTAAAAAGCTGGTTTCAATAATATAGTTGACTATATGTTGACATAAGGATTATTTTTTTAAGACTTAGAATGACTTATAAGCCAGTAGTTACTTAGCACCGTACCAACTATTATAAAGTGGTAAATAAAACTTTCTCTTCGTTGCCATTCCTGGGGCTTGTGTTATGCAATTATATCCAGTAACACCACTTCCATACCATTAACAAGAAATACAGACATGCAAGAAAAACTGTTCAGTAGCAGAAACCGAGTGGGACAAAGGTACCTATATAAACAACTTCGTAGATTTCCACTTTTCACAGTATGAGTACATTTAAAAAAATAATTAGACTGAAAATTAACAGATACTTATTGCAAGATAGTATTAACACTCTTAAATACCGCTCATTTTGAAATACAGTTATTAGTTATTATGGAAAACGAACACTTGCATTGCAACACTGTATAAATCTTAGCCAACTAAAGAAACATATCTAAAGCTACGCCAATGGTAATCAGCCAAGTTTACGCAACTCACCTTCTCTCCATCTTTTATCTCGTCTCTAACATGTGATTCGGGTACGAAGCTCTCGTCGTTCACGCTGTACCAGCCAGAGTATTTCGCTTTGTATATATAGTCTTGTTTTACTAACTTATTCTGTAAAAAAATTCGTATTTATTAATATTAAAGGTTTTTAGAGAAATTGACCAGGTATCTATGCTGTATGTTATATTCACTCATAGTCTAGTTATTTATGGCACAAATATAAATTTATATCTGCATGCGAGACAGTAAGCCTACGGGTTGGCTGATGGCCCCATTACACTATAACCTCATACCGATAAGGCAAGAACCTTACAAATTATATTAATACAAAAACAAATACAAATAACTTTATTTTGTTTGACAAATGTTTAAAAGGATAGTACATAATATTTAAATACTGTTCATACTCTTCACTAGCAAACAAAATTCATTTAATTGTGCTATGAACACAAACAATAACCGTGTTAGTAAAGCATACTAACATTTTGTAAGGTTTTTACACATTTTATATGTTATTATCTAAAACAAAAAAAAAACGTATTACTTATACGTACCCAAAAATGCGTGACAGCCTTCTTATGGCGCTCCTCCGTGGTCCTTATAAAGTCTGTGTAATCCACTTGATACTCGTTGAAGAGGCTACGGTACTCATTAGAAATATTCGCGCAGTATTCTGACAAAGAGAGATTCACCTTTGCAGCCGCCTGTTGGATTTTTGTGCCGTGTTCGTCTGTGCCTGTCATATAATCGTATAATCATTATTAAAATTACATATAAATTCTATTTATTTATTCATTAGTACAAATATGTGTACATGGCAGACTTAATGCTAAAAGCATTATCTCCCAGTCAACCATAAATTCTGTGTAAAAAGTTTTTTTTTATATAACACAGGGGGTAAATGACCATGCGGTTTACCTGATTGTAACCGACTACCGTCGCCCGTGATCACCCGGCATCGCAGGTGCGTTGCGGACCGTTTAAAAAAGTATATGTTCTTTTATGATATCGTATCGGTTCGAAAATATTTCTGCTGGAAGTTGATTCCGAAGAGTGGTTGTGCGTGGAAGAAAGTGCCTTGAAAAACGCACGGTGGAAGACCACCACTCATTCAGATGGTTGGGATGGATCTTTAGTTTGTGGCGGGGTGTACGGTAGTGAAAATCAGCAGCAAGTATCGTATCAAACAATTCCTTAGAGCACTCCCCATGATAAATTCAATAAAAGATTCACAGAGATACAACATCTCTACGCAGTTTCAGTGAGTCAAGTCGAATAGTAAGGCGTTAATCATCAATAATTCAAGCCGATTTTGCTCATAGGTGAGAACAGTATTGGCCTGACTTGAGCTTTATGTAATTTCAAGAGGTGTTCCGACATGAAATACTGTCTCACCCTATTAGGCACTCCTAACTTTTTGGAGGCTATCTTAACCTTTTCCTCGAGATGACCGCAAAACAACGTCGGGAAAATTATTAACGCCAAGGATTCCTAGATTCGATTTATTATCAAGGTAAGTGCCCTGAAAATGAGGAGATACGACAAACGGCGTCTTTTTTGCGGTGGTCCCGTAGACTTGTGTCTTCTTAGGGAAAAGTATCGGAAATATAGTGAAACTAAAATTATAATGTATTTATTAAAATTTGTTTCGCCATCTTTAAAATAAGGCGTGGCTTGTCTTGCAACACATCTACAGTGCTTTATGCACTTGTCTACTAAATATTCGTAAGCTATTTCTTATATGATCGAATTATAAGATCGCAAATTCTCTATAAAGTTCAATGTAGTCATGAGTCATATTTATTTTGTTTAAAAAACTATATATATATATATATATATATATATATATATATATATATATATATATATATATATATATATATATATATATATATATATATATATATATATATATATATATATATATATATAGTTAAGCCAATTGTTATGTTCAATAGGTAGTCAGATTACCAATTATAAAATTAATCCATTTCCGACTAGTGTTGCATATTTATTTTTTTATAGTTTAATATTGTGATAAATACTATATTATATATATATATATATATATATATATGGAACTTTGTAAAATTGGCAAATAAGTGGTTTATACCAATAAAACATTTCGCATTTTGCCACGCACCTACGCACGTTGTTTTCACGTGTAAGTAAGTAAACAACAAATGGAATTTTTACGATTTAAACAGTCATTGGCACAAAATCTTGCAGCTGTTACATCTAGAAGTTATTGTACTTTTGCGTGTATTATTACGCGTTGTTTTTGCAAATTGTTTTTAATTACTTTATTTAATTGATAAGGCTACATTTCTGTTATGGTCTCAATGTTATCATTCTTGAAGCTTTAAAAATCTTAAATCTAGAAGTGGTGGGCAAGCTGACAACATATTCTGTCCGTATTGTTAATCCAACTGTATGGGGTATTTACCGCTTATGCACATAAATATCATAAATACACTGTGCTATTAATGACAGTCCTAATTTATTAAAAAGATTTTGTACCTTGCATCAGAGACTGTTTACCTGTACTGAATATAACATCATAGTCTGGATTGACAAGCTTCTCAAATCTCTGGATTGCATCGGCCACCACGGCTGTATACAGATGGCCTAAATGTGGAGCTGGGAATCAAAAATAATTTTATTTAATAAAAAAATATTATTTTTCTGCCATGAAGCAATTGTGCCTGTACAGTCATTTTAGTTTCAAGGGCAATGTTGCAGTGAAATGACAGGGTATAGAGACATAACATTTTATTCGTCAATGAGAGTTACCATAGGCAACACAACATATTTTGTGATGTCATGGTATTGTTCATGTCTACAGGTAACAGTTATTACTTTCTATTAGGTGGGCAGTCAGCTTGTTTGCTATTTTAAGTATCATATAAGAAAAATTGGGTATTTAAGGGATAAGTCTGCCCATGTACATTTTTGTTATAATCTAATATCTATATTAAAAGTAAATGTACAAATGCAAAAATAAAATATAACTCACTGTAGTGAGTTAGTTTTAGTTATCCAGTATTTCTGTCATTAAAGCAATAAAAGGAATTAAAAGAAAAAAAAAAAAGAAACACAACAGGCAGATAAATATAAATCATCTTAATAAAATGTACATTGAATTACAAATGCCTTTCACTGCACAAATAGGTATGATCATTTATGAAGTAAATCTATTTACAGCTTGGCATTGAGCAGTAGAGTATAATTAGTGCATGCTACTTACACTCTAAACTTAGTTAAGTCGCAAACCAATTGAGCCTTGAATCTAGATTAGTTTCTAACATTACTGCTAAAATATAACAATGCATTTTATTGCTTTTATTTAATAACTAGTAACTCATTCCAGCTTGACATAGTCTTTTTTTTTAATGAAATATAGTCTATTATTTTTTGATAACATAGTTTTCTGCAGGTGAAAAATTTAACAAATATTGGCCTGTATATTATTTTGACATTAGTATGTGTATGGACTTTGTTTTCAGCATTTGGCTAAGACAGAACTAGAGGTTACAGAAGGAAACATCCGTATTATCAAATGTTTAAATTATTTTGTACTATTAAATATTCTGTAAGCACTTTTATCTAGAGTCAAAATGATGAAACTGTCAATATATTTTCGTTATTCAATATAGATTTTTTGTGATTTCAAGATGTCTAAAAATATTTACAATTACACATTGATATTTATAATGATTACAATGGAAAATCAGAACTTTTGTATATAAAACACTTTTCAGTTCAAACTTAAAATTCTCTGTTAAAATTGGAGTTGCAATTATTTTGTTGTAAAAGATTGGGAAAAGTAATAAAAACTAACTGTTATTAGGCAATTAAGAATAGACTAATTCATAAATGGAGCTAGTTATGTAGAAAACAGTAATCTTTTGTGGACATTCTAGGCAATGTGGATATGGTATGCAAAATTATCTCCAATTACCTCTCTACATTATATAGTTTTGCTCAACCAGCTATTAAGAAATTTATTTTACTGCTGATCAGATAGAGATTGATTCAACCTATCTTAGTAGTGTCTTTCATGTTTAATAACTTTATATTGAAATAGTAAAAAAATATTACTTATTCAAAGATCTGAAAGTTAACTTGGTTACTTTCTACAATTTACAAATATTTATTTACTATTTTTACACCATAGGGATAGTAAACATTCAAAAGTCTCTGAGTGCTATTTTTTTTTCACACCATCACACCAATCAAATTAATTACATATATACATAAGAGAATGTTGAAAACTTCTGAGCAACACTTTTGTTACTTTATATAGACACATGTTAAGTATTTGGATCAAATTGCTTTCTGAATTGGGTGGTAGATTAAAAAAAAATATATGTCTAAAGAATTCACCTAATAAATAAATATTTCTAATTTGTAATTAAAGAAAAAATATTATTATTTAAATTAATTGCTTTTGCTATTTAACAACCATCAGGAGCTATAAGTCTTGTAAGTGATTTATCTGTTAAATATTATCATGTATAAATCATATAAGCTATAAAAATATGGGTCATATTATTTATTTGACAAATAAACTAGTCTTATCAGTTTTACTAACATTAGAAGTATAATAAATGAATAAAATGATACCACGCGTTCACTTTAAACTAAAATAGATAGCTAAGTACTATATTTATCTCTACCAAACCTTACACAATGAGATAACCGAAAAATTATCTGCGTAAATATGTACACTACATTTCTTAGTTGGTAAAATTTTAATAAAAAGGGGTTTACTTACCTGCATTAACATAAAATATCGGTGTAGTCACATAAAATGGTCTTTTCTGTACAACAGAAGAAAGCAGGCCTAAAGTCAATCTCATTTTAACTTTTTATTAATTAGAAAATATTATGCTTAGAATGTATTTATTGTGAAATTTAAAATAATACTAATGATTGTAAGTGAACTAATTGTGTGCAGTTATAGATGTAATACCAAATCAAGCAGATGTTCATTTATCAATCCATAATATTTACAAATAAAATGCCCTTCACTTCACCCCTTTTCTAACCACAGTTTCTATAGACGCTACAGAACCAAGCACATGTTAAAGAATAAGAATAAATGTTGAGCAAAAATTACATTTAACTTGTTAGTAAGAATTACGATTAATACAATAATATTTGATAACAATATAAAGCTTATATTAATAAGAGAAGAAAATTACATTTTCTTATTAATATTTTGAAGTTTGAACTTTATAACCTTATGCGAATAATCAAAGATAAGGTAGAGGGTCTAGAAAAAAAAAAAACTTTTATATCAAATACTGTCATTCAGTAAAAATTACAAATGGCAGTCTGTGACAGTCTGTTTTTAAAACAAGAGTGTGTGTTAATCAAAGCGTGATTACCTATGTGCTGACAAAGGTAACTATTCAGCTGCTAATAGAAAATTATTATTTTATTGCATAAAGTTGTCATTAATGTTTATATGTTTTGTAGCTGAATAAATGATTTATATAAACATACAGTAAAGTATATATATGGAGAAAATTTCGCTGTGGTCTCTAAACGTTTTGTTTCTAAAGCTGTAAAACATGCGAAATTTAAAAAAGCTAGCTGTCACTGAAGTTTGTCATCCATGTGTCTAATCCAACTAAATTAAATTGCTACAAAAAAAGTCAAATAGTACTGTAATATTGTGATTACTTGATTTTATAGGTTAATCGAATTAATCAATGAAAATACCTTCGATTCATTTAGACCGAAATAGTTTGTTGTGATTTTAAAAATATATTATGTAAATACGAAGGTATTAATTATCAAGTGTCAAGTATCGATTAACTCAAAATGTCTCAAGGAAAGGTTGTTTTAATGGCTTGTGGGAGCTTTAGTCCACCGACGTATATGCATTTGCGTATGTTTGGTAAGTATTTTCTGATTAGAATTGGGTAGTTTTGGGATTTCTTTAAACCAAAATTTTAAGTTATTAAGGGTTGGATTGGGTGTCTCGCCTTCAATCTGTTGTTCTTGGGATTTAATTATCGTACCACTGCGAAAACCCATATTTTACTTTCATTGTATGCCAGAAAGTACTAGTTCAGGAAAGAGAATATTAGTAATGGGATCTAGCGCTCGAATTGCTAGCAATGACTACTATACATGTGACACAGGAATGCAGCTTCTGCCTGCATAAACCATGATTATAGTTTAATAACCTCCATATCTGGTGGCTTAATTTTAAAATTTCTAAAGCATCTTGATATTTGCATTTCAAAGTTTCATTTGAAAATGGGCTTGTGACCAATTTGTGTAAATGTCAACATTAAAAGTTTATTAGCTGTTACCAATGGCATTACATGAATTCTAATTTTATTTATACATTAGTTAATGTAAATATTAATGAGAAATTATTCATAGGTCAAGTGATTTTTACAATCCTATTGTAAAATATACACCAATTTTGTATATTATATCTCGACAACATGGAATGCATCCTGTAAGGGCACATGGTAACAAGAAAAATAAAAAAAACAACTCGGATATATTTTGCTTGTGCTACTGTACTTATAACATTAGATCTTACTTCAATGGTTATAATGAAACTTGATAATTAAATGAATAAGTCAAATTCATATATGTGTGTGAAAGCAAGAGGCTTAATGATAGAGTTTGTTGCTACATAGTTCTCTCTGGATACTCTAGTTTATAAAAAACTATTTTTAATATATTGAATTTAAATTTAATTGACAAAAATTACTTATTTTTACAGAAATTGCCAAAGATTATTTGCACTCATTGGGTTTAGCAAATGTCATTGGAGGTATAGTATCACCTGTTCATGATGCTTATGGAAAAAAAGACCTGGTAGCTGCGCAGCACAGGTAACTTGGCACAGTTGTAAATGCTGTTTTGTTTATTGAAATATACAAATTTATAATGTAACATGTTTTTTATGGCTAAAATACTATGACAGTTATGTTTTCATTATATATATATATATATATATATATATATATATATATATATATATATAAGTAGACTATTATACAGGAAGTAGACTATTATAAACCACGAATTTTTAATAGTATCGAGGAAAACATACAATAAGGAGGTATATTGTCAATGATGAAATTTATAAATTTTTCAGAATAGCAATGTTGAAGCTGGCACTGCGATCTTCAACATGGATCAAGATATCTGATTGGGAGACGCAGCAGAATGGCTGGACAAGAACGAGAATCTCTTTACAGTATCATCAGGTAACTTTTTGATTTAGTAAGAATAGTGGCTTCTTGATTTTATATTACATTATTTCACCAACTTTTATAGAAAACTACATTGTATCAAGATCATGTACAGTACTGAATTTAAATTTATTTTAATTTTTTTTTAATTCTGCAACCAGTGGAAATATTCTAAAACTTTTCAAAAGATTTGTGCTTCAATACATATTAGCACACATATTTGTATACTATTAGTACAGGTTGGCATGCTAGATCATCCATTAAAAAAACCACACCTGTTTTAGTTTGAATACAGTTAACTAGGTATCTTTTTTTTCAGGACATAATCAATAGATTTTTAACCAATATATCAACAATTGATGACATGGACGCACCTAACTGGCTGCCTGATGATATACTCAATGTGAACAATATGAACAGCGGGAATAGTATTGATGAGCCTGATAACTTAATGGAAAGGTTAAATGGTAACCGGGTTGAACGGGTTACTGTGAAACTACTTTGTGGCGCTGACTTATTAGAGTCTTTTGCGACACCTGGATTATGGTCTGATGAGGATGTGAGTATTTTATTTCATTTATGAAATTAAGTCATGTAGATTGAAAAGGAAAATGATAGGTTTGGTTCTTAGTTATATAATTATTTTCAAAATCTTTAAATTTGGGTTTAATTTAAGCCATGGTTGAATCAAATTTTAAAAGAATATTGTAGTCTACCATTCTAAATTATTCCATTAGATAATGAAAGAAGTAACTGTTAGCTATATACGCGAACAGTGTCATTGATATCTCAATACAGATGTGACACTGTGATATGTATTATTATATGTATTTATATAACTGGTGTTTTTATGTAAATGTATTGATATTATTAAATACCTTACAGTTAGAAACGATTGTGGGCCGCCATGGATTAGTGGTGGTATCTCGGGCGGGTAGCGATCCCGGCCGATTTATATACGAGTCTGATATGCTATACAAACATAGGGTGAGTGGACTTTCTTTGTAACCACTGTCTTAAAACTTACATCTCTATTGTTTACAATTTTACACATCAACAAGGTATTTACTATGTTTATATCTTTGTAGAACAGGTTATAACACTTTTATTTTTGTTCTTAATAAACTGTTTTTATACTGCTGCAGATAGCATGTTTGGTATTTGTAATGTTTTCGGATTGTATATGAAGTTCACGCAATACAAAAAAAGTTAATCCAAATACATTTAAACACATTTTTCATTACAATTTCGTATTGTTTTTTGGAACAAAATATGTAATGCCAAACTTTAATAAATTTAAAAATGGATCATCACAACAATGATATTTATCATGGCATGATGTAAACATGTTGGAATTCCTGAATACTTTGTTTTTGTTTTGAAATTCATATTCCTGCTTTTTACATTTTATTTACAATGGAACATTTTATAATTTGTTAATAGTTTTCTTAAGCAGGAGAAACAAACAAATGACAAATTTAATTGACTTCAAAAAGAAGGAGCTTCTCAATACAGTTGTATTTTTTTAACTCATAGCTCGGTTAATTGTAAATATTTTTTTTCATCTGAAATAATATAAGTATAGATCGATTCAATAGAAATTTTATCATAATTGGTTGGGTAGTTTAGTTTTTAGTTTAAAAAAAAAACTGGTTTGGCCACAGTTAAAGTAGGTTATTTTTGAGAATACTATTTTAATTATAATTACTGTAGGGTTTTAAGCATATAGTGTATGATATGGCATAAAAAATAACCATACTTTTGCTCCTAAAACTACTTATTAAATTAAATTTAATCTATTTTTGATAATCATTGTATATTTAACACGTTGCACATCTTGGTAATTTAATTTCAATTTAGTAATGTATCATATGTTTAACATTTTTATAATTAAATTAAATGCAGTCATACTAGGTATGCATATAAAGGATCTAATTGTTTTGTATTTTAGAACAATGTGACTCTGGTGACCAACTACATCGCCAATGAGGTGAGCTCGACGGTTATCCGGCGGTTAGTTCGACGTGGCGAGAGCGCCAAGTACCTCACAGATGATGCGGTGCTTGCCTACTTGCGGACCCACCGTCTCTATGGCGCCACCTCCTCGCAGACGTGAGTATCTGGGGAATTATCTGCGCCTATTGTAGTGACAGTAGAAATAGTGGTGACAGGGTAAACGTTAGTGATAGTTAAAAATAGGTGTACATTTGTGAATATAAGTCTGTTTAATGAATTGAAGGTGTAAAAGGTTATAAGATGTAAAATATGATGTAGTCGGCATCTTTGTTCGGCATTTGTAGGCCGTAGAATGAGAATGGATTTCATGTGTGATTTATGGACGCAACAATAGGATAAATGACAGCAACAGGTCGTAGTAGTGACCCTGTGGACAGTAATGAGAGGGTTGGCAAATTTGCAACAGTAGGAGTGAAGTTAAAACATTAATTAGCATTATTTTATAAAAAATTGCATACACTAATTGTAATTTTTACTGTAGGTGCAATTGGTTTTCAAAATATAATATAATCATAAATCAGAATTTTTAAAATCTCTTTCCTATCTATTATTAACATAACAATAATTTATACAGCGACAAAATCTAACAAGACCTTTCTCTCCCACGCTTACACGGAAACAGTGAGTATAACATACTTAATGATCTTATAGCTAACTACGACAAAAGATCTCCTCAAGACGTCATAATGGCGTCTCCAGAAGAAACTAGCTTCAAAAGCATACTAATATCGATCAGAGACAAACCGTCAATTGTCGATGAAACAGTAACAGTGAAAAGGGCAAAGAAAACTAATTTCTTAATGCCAAATAGTCACACAGATTCGGTCAGTCCAATTATGGATACGATAAAACCAAAAATGGCTTACGTAGACAAGGTACCATCAAGTTACGTGCCAGGAAAGGCAGTTAAGATAGTTAGCGATATAAATGAGCATGTCTTGAAGGATGAAAAGGTAAGTGTTGATGAGGCCACTTATTCTTCTTTAGACAGCTACTTGAAAAAAGATGAAGGGGACTGGGATATTTATAAGAGGAGAGTGAGTGAGAGTAATGTTGAACAGAGTCTTAATATTGACCATGTTGTAAAAAAACGTTGCTCATCAACTATAAGGAAATTAAAACCTGATGAAATGAAAAAGAGCAAGTCTGAAGTAAGTAAGTTGTGTGATAAAGTAAAAAGCATTAAACTGAAAGATAAAGATTCGAGGAATTATAAGACTAGGAGTTGTAACGATATTGTTCGATTGATTCTTACTAAACATGGAATACATGTTATAAGCGATACAGAAGCTATAGTGTAGATTTATAGTATTTTTTGTATAATTAGATGTACTGAATACTGTCTATGAAAAGATCTGTTTATTTGCGTTTGAAAGGGATAGAAATATCTGAAATTATTTCTTTTATTATATTATAATAATCATGGATTCTTATATGTTCTTTGAGAAATAATAAATCAGAGAATTAAATAAGTTTATAGCAAATATTTTAGAAATGGCTTTATTAAAGTAGTCTTTGAAATAAAATTATTCTAATTGAACAATGGTAACGGCAATTTAAAGATTTTTGTTCATTTGCTATAAAGTGGATTCGTTAGTGATTCCAAAATTATGTATTAACTTATTTTAAGACTAGTTTTTCAGATATTAATCTATAAATTGGCCTCTACTTATTTTTAAAATTACACCATTTTCAATGTCTATTTATATAAAATCTAAAGAAAACATTTCCAAATATTAGCATAGATACTTAAGTATAACATTTATTGCATAAAAATACGAGTATATATAAATGTAGCTGTGTGCTTACAGATACAAAATTTAAAAAAATATACTTAATTGTGTGCAATACGGCCTATGTAAATAAATAAAGGATGAAATTCGGAAGTTTTAGAGTGGAAGGGTGATAAGTAATAAAAAAACTACCAAACTTTGCCAAAAGATTAGAGTATAATATATATGGTGTAAAACGTGGTTTTGATGTTGATGTAGTAAAATTGTATGTCAATTAGCATAGGGTATCTTTATATTAACATTATCATATACCTTATTTATCCACTTGTTAAAGAACAAATTTCTGGTTACTTATATATATGTTGTAATGTATTTATACACAATTTATTTATTTATTTCCTTTTTACTGAAGACAATACTTGTAATGGAAATTTTGAAACCATGTTATATACGGCTTACATAAAGCATTTATCTATATAATAATTATATAAACTATAAGTATAACCATTAAAGTAATAAAATGAAAATGTTTGGAAAAATAAAAAAAAAAGTTTTATAATAAAAATAGGTAGTACAATTATAAATAGTATATGTAGTTAGTACTATGAAGAGATCTGTATACATTATGGATTTATGGTGGAATTTATTTCTCGGCGTTCAAAATGTGTTTAGATCTTGACAAGTAATCATAAACTGTAATTAATGTTTAATCAGAATAAAATATCAATTTAAAGTATTATAATCTCATAGTCGTCTTCTATAAAATTAATAAAATGATGGTATATATCATTGAAATATAAAAAGGGCATATTCAACCATGATCGACATTGTCATGAAAAAACAATCAATTTATCATTCTTGTAGGAGGATGAAATTCATTCGGTAAAATTATTATGACGAAAATGTAATTGAAAACTAAAGCCAACAAACAGATGATTAAATACTGGGAGGAAAATGGATAAACATTGACTAGCTATATATAAAGTATAAAAAAAATCATATGAATTGTGGAAAAAAATATTGAATATAAATATTAGCAAGTATATTGTAATATTGATACTCGATGAGAGAAATTTAGAAATATTATATATTAGTGTAATTTGTATGTTAAAAATAATAATTTAATGTATACACCCTCTGTGATAGCCTTTCGAAACTTTTACCCATATTCAAATAGTGCCAACCTAATTTAAAATCTTGTTAAAAAAATTGTGTAGAGCGCACGTGTACACTTTATATGAATTTTGTAAGATTCCTCGAAATCATTGTGTGTAATACTTGTATTTTATGTTTATTTGCTAAAAAACGGAATCAAAATTTTGCAATTTATAAATTTGTTGCCATAAAAATTAGCATTAAGATTAGGTATAAATTTATACTAACAATTTTTGATATAACGTACCTGGGTTTTGAAATGTGTTGTTGTTTGTTTATTTATTAGGTTTTTTATGATTTCTTTTGACGATTTTAATCCTTTTTTATTTGCTTTGGTATGCTATAAGCTAATGATAATTATTTATTGCATTGCCTTTAGCACTCGTAACTAATACTTTTTTCAGACGTTAATATTTTAAGGCATTTTCCACATATTTTAGACTGCCTGAGTAAATATGTAAGTTTTAATGTCTGAAAAAAATGCATATAATTTCTTAATAATAATTATATAATATAATTTCTTTCTTTTTTATTATTTTTTTTTTAGTGGTATTTCGCGGCTCATTTTTGGCCACAACAGAATATCAGTGTTTTGCTCTTTTTAGGGCAAAGCAAAAAGCTGAGTTGTGGCCATTTTGCATTACTGTGGCACACGCATGAAGAAAAAAAAAATTATTATGCATTCTGATTTTGTTTTTGGTTTTTTTTTTTTTTTTTTTAATCTTTTGTACATGTATCTTTTTTATCTTTTTTCACATTGCTTTTGTGTCTTTTGTTTGTGTGCTGTAAGTTATGCAAATAAATTATCTATCTATCTATCTATATAAAATCCTCGAATATTTATCTGTTGTATGATTCTAGGCTTTGAATGTTTCTGTGTATGATTTTATTGTCTTCCATAGGTATATCTAGTAAGTTGTGGTTGGGATTCTTTAAAACTTGATCGTGATTTGTTTGAGTGAAAGCAGAGTAATATATTAATTTTATTATCGATACTAAAATATATAGTCTCTGATTAATAGCAATGTTGATACTAAATGTAATTCATTCACAGACAGATATCTTTTTTTATAAAACATAGTGCTCGTTATTTAATTATTTTCAATCATTAAATACCCATTTTTATTAAAAAAGGTATCGTATTTTTTGTTTGTTTGTAATAAGGTGATAAATTTGAAATCACGGTCAGGTTACAGTTATGTTTGTGTGTCTTTGTAAAGTTTTTTGTTTTTTTTTTTTTATAATATTGCTTTGGATATTTAAAATTAGCGTAATGTTTGTAACATTAGGTTTTGGATGAATTTATTTAAATGCAACCTCTTTATTAATACAGTATTTCTTAGATTAAATAAAAATATAAAAATATATATATATATATATATATATATATATATATATATATATATACCTAAATAATAAAACCTCGCATATAACTTGGAAGCATAGAAATATAACTTGAAAGAATATAATGTTTATGTAAAATATATAAAATTAGAGAAAAAAATTAAGTTCGAAATTTATGAAACTTATCTCTGCAATATTAATTTTGATTTAACAATCTCATATATGGCATAAGAATAATATAGCGAGATCACTTTTTTTTTTATCTTTCTGATTCAAACATTTATATTGTATATATTTGATAGCGGAATAGGCCTTTATATTATTTGGGCTTGCAGTGTATGGTATGAAATAGCTCGTGTCCACTAAATCAGTTGTGTTTCTAGTTTTGTAATTAAAGGGCCGTACGGAGCTTTTTTGATGAAAATATAATAAAAAAAAAACATCAATGAAATTTCTATCTGGTTTTAGAGCACCAATATATATACGTAGTTACACAACTGATTTCCTAGTCCTCTCCACCTTCCCTATTCTGTCTTTGGTTGCTAACGTGATGGTTATGTGTGTAGGGAAGCGGTTGCCCGTTGTAGCTGACATGTTGCGCGCGAACCGACGGCCAGTCGCCGTAGCGGGCTCCACGCGCTGCCACCTTGACGTTAAAGATTTTTTTATTTATTTTTCGTTCCAATGGAATCGAGAGCAATTGTGAATAAAATTGTTGTCAATAGGTGCATCATTTACTTATATTAACAGCGTTTATGCACTCTATTACTGCAGGAACAGAAAATTAGTGGTCATTTGATGGAAAGTGGTAATTGGCGCTTTTATAAGCACAAATGTCAAAAAGCGTTGTCTCTCGTTTTGAAAGTATACCTCTTGTTTTAGCGATTGTAGAATATTTCTCCTACTATGAAATTTGTATCGTAGTACAAGGAATTTATTGCTATTTTGCGGTAAATTATGTAAAACGATTAAATTTAAGTGCATCACTATATTAGAGCACCACTGGTGTGTAGGTATATAAAGGTGTTGGTCCTGTTAAAATGTATAGATTAATTTTAAAGACATGATGTTACATATTTCTGTTTGTTATATATTTATATGTTGTATGAATTTGTTTTAAATGTTTATCAAATTTGGTAAACTTTTATACAATTTATTTACATTTGCTCTCATTCCCATTGGAACGTGCCATACATACTACTATATTCAAGCCGTGTGCCCATTGTAGGTATATGTAGTGAGACTAAAACAAATAAAACATACTTATTTTTGATTTTGGGAATACTAAACATTAGGTTGAAATATGTAGTCTCTTGATAATTGATCCAATAGAATTCGAAATAGCATCTCATTACTGTATATGCCCACTGCATTCCTAGTAACTGAGAGTAAGTACATACTATGCTTTTAATTATGTTTAGCTAAGTCTCGTCAAATACTGTGTATTCCTACTGCAATGCAGGAGCATAGGTAAACTAGTAGTTACCCATTTACTGTTTGATCCATAAAAATTGAAACCACATAAACACAACTAGTTACTAGTGTTTTGCAACATTGTATGAGAATTTTATATATAATAAGAAGAGAAAATCAATAGTTAAAATAGATTTATTATTATGCATTTAACCTTTTTTGTAAATAGCTAGCATAGAAAGGGGTACTATTCTTGTTGCTAGATTGCTAGATTAGTTGTAAAATAATTGTAAATAACGCCCACGTCAGAATTAATAACAGTGTTTCGTGTTTACAATACGGATAGCATCGGCTGGGACAGCAGAAAAATGGGGGCTCGAATTCTGTTGATTCAATCTATCGGGAATATAAATTTTTCGACCTAATATTTAGAAATGAATAATATTTTTAGATGTCATTTATGCATTTAGAAATTTATAATGCTTAATGTTTAACACTGTAATAATAGAAGTGTATCTAATTATAATTTATAATATGTTTCGACACACGGTTTTTAGTTTCAATTTAGTTTTTAAATAAAAAAAATGTTACATATAGGTACATGTTGCGTAAAAATTAACTGCAAATATTTGGTGCGGCCGTTCAGTGTAGTAACTAAAATTATATTACAATTTTTTATTTTTGGTAAATTCTTTATAGTTTTTTTTCTGCTCCTTGTATTATTAACATTGATTGCCTACACTAAAGATCGTTGTCGACTTATGTCTTTGCCTTTGTGACTTAAAAATTAGGTTAATAATAACATATGTATTTTAATTAGTATAATTTTTATTACCTCTTCTCTATCGCGTGCCTGCATCTTTTCAATTTCATAATAAATATTACTTTTTTTTATAATACCGTTAAATTGTCTGCAGTTCATTTTTAAACACCATGTTAGAATAAGCTTCTTAACTAGTAATCTGTATTTTAGATAGTTACAGCAACTAGTGATTTGTACACTTCCAAGAATATTTTTGCCGTTATTAGTAGTTATTAATCTTTCTGAAATACAGGCAACCAGACATGGTAAGTTCTGTTTAAATTATGGCATGGTTTATTAGTGTTTAATTATGAATATTAATGTTGCTAGTGTTAGTCATATATTTGCATGTTTATAAAATTGGTATATTTGTTTTATTATTAAATTGCAAATTTATTATAATTACCAACAATGTAATCGTGGTTATGTACTGATTCCATGCCTGCTGATATTAGGAAAGGTAGGCTCCAGAGTACTACTAATTAATAATAATAATCAAATTTTTAAACATGTTTTGTCAGTGAACGCAAAATGTGGCGGAGCCATAATTTTGTTTCATCTACATGACATTTATTATACCGCTAAAAGCAAATTCAAGGATTTAATTTAAATTGATTAATTTAGAATTTTAAACACTTTTTGAACGAAGTTTAAAAACTGGATTAGATTAATCCTAGAAATTGCAGTTGGTTCGCATCTTGCTATGTTAGATTTCAATGTGGTAAAATGTGGGCAGTTTAAAATCAAGCCTTAACCACCGAAACAGCAACGGACAGCCCTTATTCTAATTCCATTGATTACCTTCACTGCAACTATCCAAAATGTTTATTTTTAAATTTAAATAAATAATTATGTATTATATAATTATGTCGAAAATATTCAACTAGTTTCAGGAACGGGAACTTTTAAGACTTGTTAGACATTCCTCAGCGCATATTTTTATCCTTCAAATAAAATAGGCATGAAATATGTATTATGAAATTATGCATTTCCATGCTATGCTATAAAAGAGAGACAAGCGCGGCCTATAAATTTTTTTAAAAAATAGGAAAACGGTTTAGATCGTGCAAAAGTATATGGGAGTCTGCGAATAAATAAAATTAACGTAAAAATGTAGCACGTTCATTGACATTGTGTAGTGTCCGTGCTATATAGAGAATATTGTATCCAATTTCATAGCGACGTACCTAACAAGTCGAAATCCAGTGACGAACCTTGACACATTAAATATGAAATAATATAAAATAATGCCCTTGAAATATATTCGATATATAATTAAATAATGAACTTTTGCTTCCTTTTAATGCATGCAAGCTTATCGATGTTTTAATATAGTAATAGCGACAACTATGTACTTACTATTATAATGCATTTTGGTCAGTTGATTCAAGCATATGACTCAAATGATAATGATGAAAAATATATTGCTGTGTTGTGTTGTACCAAGGTATAGAGCAATTTGTTGTTCTATATTGTCGTTTGTACATTTCTTTTAAATCTAACTCTAAAGGCAAATTAATCTACTTATTTGTTTAGTACAAGATATCGGTCAATGCTGTTTTTTTTTTTATATTCACACGCGTGGTTGTGTAAACTTTAACACACAATAATAACCGTATCGTATATACCTAAAGGTTTATTTTTCGTTTCTCTAGAGTACATACATACATTGCAATGATGTCTTCTTGTAGATTGTTATGTATCCATTTATTTACAAGATTTATGATTAAAAAAAGAAAAGTAATATAATCACGGTGTCATATTTATAATTTGATTTGAATATAAAGATAAATTAAATCATGGAATTTAAAGTTTTGTAAATTACATATTAAAGTAGGTACCTATCTACATATATTTAATAGTAATATTTATTTTTCGTTAAGCTTCTTCTAAAAGAGACAAGATCTTGTAAAGAAGCATGAAAACATTATTCTGCATTCTTAGTACAGCATTAATGAAAGGGTCCATTAAATTATAGAATATGCTTGTTTATTGCAAGTAATGCCCAATTTTTACCTTCATAAACATGCTTTTTTATATAATATAATAAGGCATATTCATTTTTTTTCTCTATTTTCTCAGTAAATAAGTATGTGGTGGCATTCTTTAAAATCCTTAATGAAAATTAAATATTCTTGAACCGAATAAATATGTAGATGTATAGGTATTTAGTTATTATTTTTAATGAAGCCGTAATAAATTTCGGCCTCTTACATTAGATTAGAAAAACGTAAAAGTCATTAAATGCAATTCTATGGCTAGGCGGGTAGTTGTGTGATTTTGAGCATTTATACATATTAAATATGTACTTACTTTAAGGTCTGGCATAATGTTGTGTCACAAAAAAATATTCTTGTATATTTTAACTGGAATATAAATAATATAAAAAATAAAAATAACTAATTGTTGCCTATTGCGCTTTTTACGTGTCTGAATAATATTCCATAAAATATTATTATTATTGCCGCTCTATTACTTTAATTATACTAAAATTCTGTTATTATAATATGTTATTAGAAATTTTATTAAGTACAGATTGAGTGCACTGTAAAGATATTTTTTATATAATAAATTATAAAGAAATAGGTATTTAAAAATTTGTTTAATATTTGATGGATAATACAGATGGTATCACTCTTACGGGAGGCGTATTTTGACTATTCAATCAATATTGTATTGGGAATAAATTTATCTGTTGTATTTGTTAATATTTAGGTTTTTTTCTAGTGACATTTGTTGGTGCTGAATTGTGTTCCAGAACATTCTGGTTTTTCATATTCAGTATAATTTTTGAGATCCTAATTTGAGAACTTATATTGTTTTACAACGATATTATATTGCGCTTGTATCGATTATCTTTAAAATTATTGTAAACTGAAATTGCGAACCTTATTTTTTTTTTATTAAAATCAGTTTTTATTATTTTTAGTTTTAATCTAATTTTGAATTATATATCAGTAAGATTGGAATTGTTATTTGAAGCATAAATATTGATAGAAGCGTACTCGATGACCGGCAACGACGTTTTCTATAATCCAGTTAAAATTATCGAGTAAGAATATTTTGTATAGGTAAATTAATTTGTATGGGTGGGATACTGTTCCTCTATTATTTGTTAAGATTTCTGGGTTGTAATATAGATTTATTTTTATTATTGTTAAGTAGCAATGTTATTTATATTATTACAAATTTATCAAATACCTACTATAATAATAAATCATTTAAAATAAGAAAAATAATATAACACATGTACCATCTGTTAAAATAAATGTAATACCCTATATTTAAAATAAAATTTCTTGTAACTAGGTGTATTTCATATTTTTTAGTGATACCTAGCATTTTCAAATCTGTAGTTTTTTATTTTACAGCGCCATCGTTTGACGTATAATGTATCATAGTACATTTCAATTTGAATGTCATAAAAATACACATCATGGAGATAGCTATTATCGCTTGTATATGAGTATGTTTCTGTATCACATGTTAACATTTAGAGACGCTCAAATTAAATGTCTTGAACAGATAATTAGAAAATAAGATTTGGAACATAATATGTTCATTAGTCAACTAGTCGTTTTAGGCAAGAGGGAAACGGAATCCTTTGATAGAATCGTTTTGATTAATGTTCACATGAGAAAAAATAAGACGCGAAATGTCACTGTATTATTATTTCATGGACTCGCTAGCGATAACGACATCACAATAAATCCGTTTGCCTCTTGTCCCGTGGACTGTATCGAATTAAATAAAAACTGCAGCAATTCATCAACACTTAGAACATTGTATACATTAATGATGTACACACATGTGATATTTATATTTTTTTGTGGATGGAGATTTAACATAATCCGATTCGTGACTGATGTCTAAACATGAGATGTACTCGGTAAATTATAAATCAGAAAAACATTGTTAAATCAGTTGAGCAATTAGAAGTTACATATTTAAAAAAAATAATGAATCGCCTCATTATTGTATAAATGTTCTAAGGGTAAATTTGACTGATATTTTTGAATTCATATTTCGTGTACATCCATACATATTTAGAACAAAGTCATTCACTTGTAGTAAATATTATATTTGTGAAGGAATTATTTATGTCTATGTATGGTTCTTATTTCAAAAGGATTTATTTATTTACAATCTAACAATTGTAACCAATAAATGAGCATTTGAAATGCTTATTAAAATTTTATTTACATAATGATTTTTATTTTCAACAATTTTTATAACAGTGTGATCCAAAAGTTTTAATTAAAACAGTAGTCTAGATAAGTAATTTATTATTTATTCAAACTATAAAATAAAAACTACAAAAATGGTGTTAGGAATGAATATCTCAATACAAATTTTAAAACAAAAACAGGTATAAAGTAAGTTATTGTCTTAATTTTTTATCGCCTTTAAAAAAGGGTAGATTAATATAATAATAGAATGTGGTGGACATTCTATTTTGTTTCAAATTAATTAATGACTACTGTTAAAAGATCTAATAGAATATAAAAATATAAAGTTGGTATACTTAAGAATTTCTCAGTAAATAAAAATACAAACTATTTGTAGGCTTGTACTTCAGTAGGCTCAGTGCTGTCTCAAGATTATGAAGTTTATTTTAGAGCAAACATATTCTTATATATAATGAGTGAGGCAGTAGTTTTCAACACTTAAAGATAATATTTACAGTTTGTTACAGTAAAAAAATACTGTTAAGAAATAGTTCAATTTTTCTTAGATAAATACAAATATATTTAAAATCCTTTTTGATGGCGGAACAAAATACATACTACAAATTCTATGGTAAAAAATAAAAAGATATTCAATAAATTATGTACAAATTTGAAATGTGGAAAATGGATTTTAATACATTATTTTTATTTTAGCAGTTCGCATAAATAATTTTTTGGGGTTCAGTAACAAAACAGCGCAAAACAATCCTTACTTATATAAGGCGACATTGTCCATCCATGTGTTACAGCATTATATATTAGCAATTATTAACACTACCACGTTTTCTTAGTATGTGATAATAACAGATTATTATAAAAAATTATAAGAGTATAATGAAGTCGTTAGTGACTAGTATAGTTTGCAGTTGCTATATTTATAGTGTATACGCTTAATTTTTGTGGCACTGATGAACAGTAGATATTTTCTCATTCAGTGGCACTATTTAATAAATCATTATTTTTTTGTTTAACAAATTATATCAATGGCCAATTCTATTGTAAAGTAAGAGCTATCTATATATTCCCACCCAATAATTATATTAAAAAGATTGATGAGAGTTGACAAGCATAATATGTTTATGTGTCACATATTCAATAATAAATTTATAAATATTGCTGTATCTTGTTTATGATTATATTTTTCAATATGTTTTACAATAAAATACTTCATCATCATCATTATATCAGTCTTTAACTGTCCACGGCTGAACATAAGCCTCCTCTTTGGGGGTTTATGCCATAGTCGCTACGCTTGGTAACCATAGTTAGGTTTTGGAGATGTTTTAAGTATGCTGTTGCCCATCTCCTCCCCTTCCCTTAGTTGCCTCTTACGACACCTACAGAAAAAGAAGGAGTGGCCTATTCTATGCCAGGACCATAGGGCATATATGTAATAAAATATTGATTACATTAAAAATTGCTTCTAAAAAATGTAATGTAATACACTGAACTTCCTGTTTTCAGGTAGTTTTTATTGTTTTGCTAGTAGGGTTCATGAAATCAAATTTTACATTATTAATACTCTTTATTAGATGACCTTGGTGGTAAGGCACATTGTTTAAATGTATAATCTACTTTTCAGTTGGGATAATTTAAAAAATAACCTTTTAAATTGGCTCCAGTCTAGGTGTCACAACTGCAATATATAAACTAGGATACCTAGTTTAAGATATAACCACTGGTGATTATCTGGTTATTATTTAGTTTTTACTTTCACTGGGTCAGGACACTGACACCAAGGTGTTACAGATTTGTTACATAATAGCTCTACATTAAGTACTGTGATGGGCAAACTATCAATTGTCACATTATGTCTACTCCACAGCTTATATGCGACATCATGGAGTCCTGTGACTCTGTCACGGCGGCGCGTAACCTCTCGTTGGTTGTAGCATTTACGCATATCGCGCCGACGGTATGTTTTGTCATGTATATGCCTGTAAAATAGCAGATGAATTTAAAAGTTGAAAGGCTACGCTAATATATAATGCAGTATTACTTTTATTATTAGTAGTACATTCTTTTGGGCATTTTCAAGAAACCCTTAGTGAATGCTTGTGACTGTAGAAATATAAGAATACAATTTTGATAACTTGTTATTTCAAGAGATCTAGTAATGGCTTAAAACCTATAATGTGTAAAAATCAAAAGTTTCTGAGCTAGTAATCTTTGCTATGCATTGGGAAACCAACTACCAGTTAGTGTTTATTTTATATGTAGAGAGAATAAGTCATTACACTGTATTCAACCTTTAAAATTCTTATTAATTTTTAAATGTTAAAGTAACTGCAGTAAGTAAAAAGTATATTATATACTTAAAATAGATATCTAACAAAAAGATAGAATTTTACTCACTTAAAAGTATTTTCAGGTCCAGTTGCAATATTTTCTGGTCTTTTTACAGTCAATCCAGCATCTTTTAATCTCACATAAAACTCATCATCTTCCAATCCCCATCCCCAATAATTATTTGACATACCCTTGACTAATTCATAATGTTCATTTTTTACTAATAAAATACCCCCTATAAATGTATCATAGTGGTATTTTGGATGAGTCTTTGGTGAAGATATGTGGTAAGGACCATCTTCAGGATAATCATACTTTAAATCATCATTTATTGGTAATAAGTCAACATCATGCATTGCAATGTAATCGAAATCATTCTTTGTGAAGAGGAAACCAACATTTATAAGTGAAGCTCTGTTGAATCGATTGCTGTCTTTTTGCTGAATAACGAATATATGAAAAGGTATTTTCTGCTTGTTTAAAAAGCTGTACATATGCGGCACGAACTCCAGTAATTCTTCGAAACGATCTCTAAATGGCACTAATACCGCTAAGTGCTTTTTGTGTAATTTATTTAAAACTTTTTCATATTTCGCGGGTTTAGGCAAAGCTGGCAAATCTGCGAAAAATATAGACAGAATAGGATCATTATAGCATTGATTAATGAAAGAAAATAATAAATACTTATTTAAAGCTTCTGTATTCTATTCCTTACCAGAATGAATTGGAAAAGATGCTAAATAGCAACCTATAATTAATGTTGCTACTAAACATATCATGAGACATTTTGAGCAAGTGAGTCGGTTACCCATTGAATTTATGTCCTTAATATTAATGTTATGTCACGTAATTACGTTATAATGCTGTATTATCATTATTTTTGATAAAATAGGATTAAACAAGAAGGTAAAAATAAACATAAGATTGCTGTTAATGAAAATTGACAACAAATTACAATGACATATGATATGACTGACATCTAAAAGTATTAGTTGTCACTGTCAAAATAGTAAGCTGTCAATCAGTTGTCCGTTTTTATAGACGCGGTAAATGATTAACACAAAGTACTTTACATAGACATATTTTGTTTATAAGCTAATATTGGGGTTTTATTCTTAAAAATGCAAGTATATATTATCGGATTCTACTACTATATTCTATATGATTTCGATTTATTAAATTGGTACCGCGTTTGCGGTTTTTATGAAAGTAGGTAGATTATTTCAAAGTTTTATACTATCAATAATTTGAATTACCTCAATGGTGCTTCTTAACAGGTAGGTTTTAAGATGAACATGATCAAGACTAAAATCATGTCTAACGTCCATAATCTATACCGGTTACGATTGAGAACAATACGCTCGAAGATGTCGATGAGTACATATGTATATCTAGGACAAGTTCTCCGAATGGATAAGTCTAATTTCGACCTAGTGGTCAACTGACGAATCCAACTCAGCTGGGCAGCATTCGGAAAACTATGCTCCTTTTTGCATCCAAAATACCTCAAAGTTTAAAGACGTAGACTTTTAACCAGTGCGTGTTGCTAGTGATGACTTATGGAACCGAAACATGGTTTTACACGATGCAAAAGTTTCAAATTACTCAGCGGGCTATGGATAGATATAGGATCGAAGTTTCTTTGCATGATAGAATCCGAAACGAGGATATCCGTAATAGAATCAAAGTAACTGACATAGCCCAAAAGATAAGCAAGCTGAAGTGGCAATGGCCTGGTCACATAGAAGAACCGACAACCGATGGGGAAGAAAGGTTCTAAACAACTTTCCCTAAAGAGCGGAGAGGAGTGGCGACCCCGTACGGGCAAATGCAGTGTAGGACGACCCCTCACTAGATAAAGTGACGACCTCAAATGCATTGCAGGGAGTCAGTGGATGCAGGTGGCTCGGGACTGTTCCTTATTGCAGTCTATGGAGGAGGTCTATGTTTAGCAGTGGACGGATAATGGCTGAAATGATGATGATGAAGAAAGTTTACGATTTTTTTTTTTTGGTAATTTTGACTATAAAATACAAAAAGAAAAAAGAGATTGGCTGACCTACAAGCACAGCTAGTTAGGAAGGTATTAATTATCGTTAAACGTGATCGGTACCAAGTTTAGTTGTTGTTATTAAGCTAAATTTGTTTGAATTGCTAATTAGTCGTTGCTGAATGGTCCCCAAGCACGCTATATGAGGTCACGAAATCTAAGCGGCTAATTATCGTAACGTTATTGTAATTCGTTATTGTTTTATTGTTATATAGTTATTGGTCGAGTGTAGTGTTATGGGATCATTATTTCATAAGGCTACGTGACTGAGAGGTACTTAATTAAGTATAGGTGTACTGGGTTAAAAGGCACTTTGCTTGTTTCAATATTTAAAAAAATGTATGAACATTTAATTATATATTAAGTTATTTGTTGATATGTTTGTCATTCGTATCATAAAATTGTAATTTTGCCCTGCGGTTTTTTAAAAAGTTTATCTACCTGGGTAGTATGGGGTTCTGAGGCCTGTTTAGACGAGCAGCAGGGAACAAACAGACACATAGTGTTATTACAGTATAAGTAATAGTACTAAATGTACAGTATGGACACTCCCTGCCGCCCATTGCGATCTGACCTCACTCCTTCCCAAATACGCGTTAGTTATCATAATCTAATGGATGTCACTACTAGTCTACGCTTCAGTAGCCGCCGACATCAGAGAAGGATAGATGTTATAATATTTGCAAGGTATGAAAACGAGATGTAGCTAGTTATTGAAAATTTAAAGTTCGAAATCGACTATTATTGCGTCGCATTGACTTTGTACTTTTTTGGAAGCGATCATTTAGACAACTAAGAAAATAATAAATTAGTCCACCTAATTAAAAATGATAACTATGTCTTATACACATAAAAATATTATGTACCTCCCAGAATATACTGTGACACCTGTGATTATTTATACACTGTTATTACTAAGAACAAGTTACCCGGTAATTTACAGCCCTTTATAATAAATAAAATTCATACTAGTGAATAGTAACAGTGATTTACTAAGACAAACTGAAATATTGGTAATAATCTAATTTTAGTTCATATCAGTAACAATATTGTGACTAAATATATGTAAAATAATCTTATTGAAACATTGGTACGAAAATAATTTGTAGTGTTCATTGAAGTACACTTTTGTTATTTTTTTTTCTATAGATTCGACTAATTGTTTTACAGTGCGTTGCTTTTTTGAAGTCACAACTTCCATTTACATTGTACAATATATGGAAGCGTGTATTTATTCCCGCGTCAATTCTAACTACGCATACATTGTCACATGCACATAGATTACTTGTTTCTGTAGTTGTGACAATCACAGCTCATGGCATATTTTATTAAGTGTCCGGGGTGTGGTGTTACTAACCTCATGGTAGATTTTATTAGAATGAACAAAAATACACCTACTCAAATTAAATGTAGTAACATAGAAGATAATTGTCGCGTAATATACACTGTTACTAGTAATTATGTATCTATATTTTAATATATATTTACTAACTCTAAACAATAAGAACAAAATAATCTCTAAGGGATCCCAAAAAGCGACAATGAATTAAAATTTACAACGTCTAAATACTGGCCAGGCTCACGGCACGGAATGTCAACAATAAATATTAATTTAACACACACTAACACACCACTTTGGGTACACAATGCACCACAATTAATCGCCTAAACTTTTTATAACCACCTAATTACATGGTTTGCTCGGACGAGCGCGGTAGAAGTCGACAGCTATTAATACAGTGCCGGGCTGGCTTAAAAATGATGGCGGTCATTTTTACCACATTTTAGGTGTAGTTTAACAAAGAGTTTAACTAATAAATTAGTTTATAGAAATGAATATTAAATACACACACAACATTCCTATATGGAATAGTAAGAGGCATTTTTAAGCGAGTTCCAAAACTCTCAATGTTGAAGTTCTCATTTTCTTTTGCGACTAATGTATGTTAAGCGATTGCGTCGCCAAATCTGAACCGAATTACACAATTCTTTTGGCAATCTATAGGGCTTGTATATCATCATTTTCTTGTCACTTGCCTTTGTTCAATAAAAGTGCAGCCATTTCATTTTTATCTCATTGAAATTGTTTATTTATTGGTATAGTTTTATGTCAACTGTCTGATACCATTGCCTTATTCAATGTTGCCGTAAATAAGTGATATTTCAAATACAATATCTAAATATAACACCTTAAGGTTTTATATTTAGATATTGTATCACTGTGATTGGTCACTAAACAAAATTGTACACGAAGTAGGTACGGGATGGCGCTAGAACCGAGAATTTTGATTTTTCTTGATTATTTTGTAATTCAAGATAATTTGAAGTAATACTTCAAATTGGCGAGTAATTTATTATTTATTTTCTACCAATATAGCAATAAGTTATCATAATTTTTGTCTTTATTCTCTTGTAACGTACAACTATGCAAAAAAAAAAAATTGCAAGAAATATTGCTATTGTGTGGATTATAATTTATTCAGGGAAAGATCTGTTACTTCACATTCATACATAATAAAAACCAATTGACAATTTTGAAATTTTACTTAAAATTGTCTTAAATCATAAAATAATCAACGAAAATCATATGCATTTATTTAGGCACAGCAACAGTAATACAATTCACATTACATTGACTATAATAAGCTAAGTAATTATAACTATTTTTTTTTAATTGTACACCGTTAATTGCTACACACAGCGTTAGCTTATACTAGTTTTAATATTATATACGATAACTATAGAATATAAGAACAATTATATATTAAAATCAGAAATTTCTTTTACCATTTTAAGAAAATAATTTAAACTCTGAGCAAAAATTTCTTGTATAATTTTGTTTATTGACCAATTAAGTCCTCAAGATCGGCAAAATATAAAGGATGCCATGTGCAGTTTACCTATTACTACTATATCTTGCTTTTGTTTTTAGTTTGGTATCAGTTTATTTGCCCTTTTAAGTAATACAAACGTTGTATGATCATGTCAAAGGGCCACAAATGACCGTTTGTATACGAAATCAAACATGGTGGGTTAAAAAGTACTTACGTTCCGTTTCAAGCAGCGATACATCAACGTCTATAAGGAAAGATAAGTCCGCTAAATACCTACTTTCAACGTTGAGTTACGTCTCAGTTAAAAGTAATTAAGAATAAGTAGTTAGACCTCGTAGTTTGGCATTTCTTTGTTTATTTTTCGAAGAATAATTGACGGTTTCGAGTTGGCTGGGAGTAATTAAAGGAATTAACAAACAGAAATAAGTAGGGGAATGCTGGTTAGGTTATTTATATGTAGCCCGGGGCTTCAACTCGTTATAATGAGCGTTTGTTGCTCATCATATTATTTGTGCTATTAGAGTTCCGTAAGTAAAAAGGTAATAACAGGCAAGGCAACTAATGAATAGGGAGCAGCGATGAAGGGTTAATTGCTGAATATCTATTATGTAATGTTCATAGTATTAACGTTTTATTTGAGAAGTACAGAAGGATATTTCGTTATCCATGTAAGATCTTTATGTAAATTGTAGATAGGTCTATACTGGGTTAATAGTACTGAAATCGTGGAAAAATATTATATGATTTCGATTTACGCTCTTTAGGGAAAGTTGTTTAGTTTTATGAACATATCTTGTAGGTGTTATAACTATATATAACTTATGTATAATTATATAGGTACCAATGAATGGTATTTAATGTCGTAGGTACACTGTTTTATTATAACCTACATATAGATAGGTAGATTATAAATGCTGTTATTAACTTAATATTTTAATTTTCCACTACAGTCTATTAGTTTTGCAACTCGTTTTAAAATTAATAAATTCTATTGTTTATCGCTATATCGATTAATAAAAGGACATAATTACTTGTTGACAAGTAAATATAAAATTATAGGCACTTGCATATAATGTAA